TCGATTAAGATGGAATTGATGTCCACTAAGCGCTTGGCCGCTTGCGCACCTTATCGCGACTCGAATCGAACTGGCAGTTTCACAAGATGGCCGCCCTATTAATGTTTGGTGTTCGTCACAGTCTTAGACTACGCCAATAAACTAATTTTACTTCTTTTATTTGCAATAAATGTTTTTGCGAATGACTATAAACGTACACATAAATTAAAATTAACCTTTTAAAAAATTCACGTCGCGAGATATCGCTAAAAGTAAAGTTCGTGAAAAAGATTTTCCAATAGTATACTTTCTAGTATCAAATTTTTGCTGACTGCAGTTGTAATATCTCATGTCCAAACTATAATTCAAGATTGTCTCGTGTGTCAAAAGCAACAAAAAGATAAATCTTTGTACATCGAATACATCGTTCATAGCATAAAAAATGTGGAACAGTTCACCGGATCGGGAAAATTTACGACAAAGGACAAATGGCGTAGGAAAACGATGCGCCGATGTGTAGTTTTGTTGTGTTAACAACTACGATGTTATCGACACAATTTACTTTATCGGACTAACAATTACTAAAAATTTAAATAAATTTAACTTAGAAGTACTGACATCGTAGATAAACTAACTCTGTCCGAGTATTTCCAATCGCCACCACGCTCCTTCCCCACGTGGGAAAAAAAATTTCATTCAACCCACCTTTTAGTCCCACCATCACCAATAAGCTGACAGATGGAACCGTTATGAAATAAAATAAGGTCCAACCGTCCCCTCGTCACCACGTGGGGACAGAGCGGGGAGATGGTTGGAAATAATCCCGTGTGTCAGTGTCAATCGATATCAAGCAGTACCTATTATATGTTGAGATCCTTCCTACTTTCCATTGTTACTTTCTTGCCTTTTGGTACATAAACAGTTAAGCTTATTAATGTATAATTCTATATACATTTATTCCTGTTAGCAACTATCCGCGACGCATTCAAACGGAAGAATGAGCTTTTCCAACTTTTCTTTTGTATTAAACTTAAAATACTTCGCAACTCTCGCTACAAACCGTAACTATAGTTTTTGCCATTGTCGGAGAAATGTTGAATTCACTGTACTAAAAAAAGTGCTTTTTTTATTGGAATAAGGTAAGAAGTGTTTCATTTGATGTTATACGTTTGAAAATCCGAAAGATTACTTTTATATACTTAACCATAAACTTTTGACAACGGATAAAACAGCCTACCTATTTCGCTTACTTATTCCGTTGTGAATTTGGATACGACTGACTTACTTTTCAGTATTACATTAGCTTTTGCCCGCGTCTCCGTTCACGTAAACTCCAAAAAAACAAAAGTCAGTAGCCTATGTGTTCTTCCAGACTATCCCCTACGTATATGCCAAATTTCATCGAGATCCGTTCTGCCGTTTAGGCTACAAACTCTAACAAACATCAATCCATTTAAACTTTCGCATTTAGTAAGAAGTAAGATTATTAACATTTCAATGACATTTTATTAAAAATATGTAGATAGTGCGAACGTATACATGAAAATACTGTGAGTGTACGGTATTTATATACTACGCGTTACGTGAAAATGCAATGACGTGTTATAAAACTACCAGACTATGAAGGCACGCTGATACATCGAACATTTCAAATACCGTTTTACTTCCTTCTTCAAGGTAAAAAAAATAAATGGAACGTAATAGGACCTAAACATTTAAACTTACTAAGATTATACACGGGTACTGAACTTCCCAAGTTAATCGACATTTGTAAACAGTATGTTGTTTCAATAACCTACTTCTGACTAATATAACAAATCCGAAAGTTTACATGGATGGATGGATGTTAGTTTATATTCAAATCGGTTGAACGATTCTCCAAAAACATTGACAAAGGCGTATAGGATAGTCTGGATATAGGTTATTCACTTTTTTTATACCACGCGGACGGAGTGGCCGGCGAAAGGTAGTAAACAATAAAATGATTTCCATATTTCGTGACTAGCTAAGAAATTTACATTTAGTTAAAGATTACCTTGCCTAAAAACTATTAGTTCGTTATAACAATGCACTTTAAACAAGGTAAACATTTTCTTGTAAGTGCTGGTACTCGAGTGTACATTACCATAATGCTTCCGGCATTCGTTGCTTTCAGTTTATTTGTTATCAACTCGACCCTCTCATATGTAACTAATACCAGTTAGCTTAACCTACATTTTATATTTCATTATATTCAATTTAAACAAACGTTGTTAATTTTGAGTATACATTTGATTTAAGTTTAGTAAAACAAAGCAGTAACTCATGAACAATGCTTACGTTCTCGATAAAGCAATCTTGTTCGTTCGATTTTTACCCTGGAAAAAAATGTTAGCAAGCGAAATAAGCATGTATTTTTGTATGCAGCGTTCGTCCGGGACTAATTAATGTGTAATTAGTTGCTGACCACGTTATTTTCTCAACTAGAGAAAAGAACTTGGCATTTGTGGTTTCGATTCGAAAAAAAAAACAACGAAACACAGCATTATAACGGAATCGATGTATGCAAAAGACGTTCAATAATTTTTTACATCACTTCTATTTGATATTTTATAACTCGACTGTTTTTTTTTTTAAGAAAAGGTTGCACAAACAGAGATAATCAACGACGCCCATGAACATCCGCAACACCAGAGGAACTACAGATATGTTGTCGGCCTATAAGGAAATGTTAGACTAGTTAGGAAGCTCCTAAAGTACGCTAAGTCGTACTGATTTGGTAATACCGCTGAGTACAGAGAGTTTCACAACGCGGCTGTAGCAGAATGTTTTAGGAAGTGTATAATCATTACGCAACTTGGGTACAAAATTCATTTGAGAAATTAATAAGCAAAGATTTTGGATGTGTTTTACGATTACAGTTGTAGAGCCCACTTTAACATCTTCGTATGAATGGGTCGGCACGCCCGGTGCAATACCACGACCACACAGAAGACAGACGTGAAGTGGGAGCAATTCCCCGTTTCGTCTGATGAGTGTGGTGCCGGAGGCCCAACTTTAGTCTCTTTTCCTTCTCATCTTTTTTTTCATAAGAATGAGATGAAAAGGGAACGTGGATTTGACGATGGAGGAGACGCCTAAGAAGATGAAATATCCTCTTTATGTGGCTCTTCTCCTCTGTCGATTAAGGGTAGGCAACGCATGCGCTATTGCGAATGTCTATAAGCAGCGGTGGCTTCGCCTTTTGGGCGGATTCAGGTGGCCGCTTCTCGTTTAACGCCTCATACTATTAAAATTGTCTCAACAGACTTGCTATCTGTGTTTGTTGTATTGAGTTTGGAATCAAGTGAAAAAACAATTGAGTTTATATATCCCAGACTTTTCCCCAGAGTATGGCTTACCATAATAGTGTGTTTTCACAGCTTACGTTGTAGTACGTTTGCTTTGCATATAAATAAAACAAATATGTTTTCAGTCCCGCGAGAAATGTAAACAAGTTCTCGTATAATATGTAAACAGAATTTTTCTGGATATGAAACCTGAAATGTTTAAAGTATACTTTCAGCTTTGCGTACTGAAAGACTGAATTAAATATGGCTTTGAGCAGTATAAAACATTTGGCTGATATTAATAACTTAATATTAACATGGAAGATATGAAAAAGATTATTTTAGTATAATGTTTTACTTTAAAATATATAGTTATACTATTTTTAATGTATCTTCTACAATTTCGTCTTTGCTCCCTAATTCCAAAAATACATGAATTAACAAATATGTCAAATAAAATGAGTAGCATCCAATTACATTTTTGAATTGAACTACGAATAAATTTGCTTGTTATCTATTTTTCCATATTTCGTTTTAAAGTTTATATTTTTATTAATTCCCAAAACGACTCAACTAAATCTGGATTGCAGACACGAATAAATTGTAATGGCAGTCATGTGGCTTACAGATTTTTAGCTCAGTCAGGTTTTTAATTGAATTTCCTCTCAGCGATTAAAATGCATTTCATATTTTTCAATCCTATTAATTTACAAGAGTACCGTTTCCACGTTTTGAAATCAAATATTTTACATAGCATCGAAATGAAACCAACTCTCTTAATTCAAAACAAGATGAACTTTTGATGATTGAGAACTGATATCACATAAAATACTTATGTTTTTATACCTAATACTTATTATAAGTGTAATCTACTACTGATATTACGGCAAATACTTTGCTTTTATACTATGCTCTCAACTTACTAAACCATAAACTGCGCTCACTATACTGGACAATAATTATAATGTACTTAATTTGTTTACTCCTTATTTTCTCAGTGGTTGAGAAAATAAGGAGTAAAAGGTTAGAGTGGTATGGGCATGTTATGAGAAGGGATGAAACGCATGTAACAAGAAGGATGTTAGTTATGAATATGGAGGGGTACATCGGTAGAGGTAGACCTAGAAAGAGATGGATGGATTGCGTGAAAGGTGACATGACCAAGAAGGGAGTGATGACTGAGATGACGGATGATAGAATGCTTTGGAGGTCGAAAACCCGGTGCGCCGACCCTACGGGAGTAGGATAAGGCAGGGAAGATGATGATGAATTATAATGTTATGCAAAACAACCATCCGATATTCAAATATGTCACATTGCTATCAACCCGGAATTTTATAATACGAGTATATGACTATACAACAACTGTCATCATCATCATCTTTCTTCTTATCCTTCTCCCATAGGGTCGTCGCAACAGGTTTCTGTCTTCTATCTACGTCATCTGTCATTTCTCCCATTTTGATCATATCACCTTTCACGCAATATATCCATCTCTTCCTAGGTCTACCTCTACCGTCTTTACAACAACTGTATCCATTGAATTATCTGCAATATCCATACCTTTTTAATACACCGGAAATTAGTGCGACAAAAAAGTTTTCAGTTTAATATTTTTTAATGTACTCGTATATTATCGTTCAGATATGTCAGCTGTCAATATGTAAAGCAAGGTATTACTAAGAGTAACAATTACGTAAATAAAAAAAAATGTAGAATTTCTATTCTAGATTTGCTAAAGTATAAGATCCGAAGGATTTATTCAATTACTTTGAACCAATTTGGATAAAATTTGGAATTGTTCCAAAACACTTACAATAGTAGTTAGAACATGAAAACAACTACAAATCACAAAGACAAATACGAAAATGTAAGATTTTTTAATTCCAATTAGCAAAAAAGAAAGGTTTTACTATAGTGAAAGTTTGGTGGTATGATTGTTAGTTTGTAGCCTAAACAGCTAAATAGATATCGATGATATTTGGCACATATATGTATAGAACACGGTCTGGAAGAACACATAGGTTTTTTAAATTCCACGCGGACGGAGTCGCAGGCGAAAGTTAGTGCTCATATAAATTGTACTAAAGTAATTCACAACGAAAACACAAAATCCAAACACTTTAGCGTGTCCTTGGCACAAAAGGCGGTTACGATCGGAAAAAGGTCCGCATTGAATGTCGTTGACACTTAAAAGCGTAATATCAGAAATCCGACCCTTTGACACGGATATTTATATAAGGTTCATTCTCACGATAGCTATCGAAAAAACTAACCGTATGGGCGCCAAAATGAACTATCGTATTTCTCCTTTATGTTTATTACCTTTACGATTACGATGTGATAGGGTACGCTTTTGTATTTTATACTCGTATCTCGCTCTTTCTGGGTCGGTAAAAGTCAATTACTGTGAAAATAGAGTGAACTAACGTTTCATAGTTAAATTGTTACATAATTTTTAAGACTATTGAAATAAAATTAACTATTTGGTATGGTAGATATCACGAAAAACTCATCATCATCATCTCCCCTGCCTTATCCTACTCCCGTTAGGTCGACGCACTGGGTTTTCGTCCTCCAAAGCACTCCAACATCTGTCATCACTTCCTTCTTGATCATGTCACCTTTCATGCAATCCATCCATCTCTTTCTTGGTCTACCTCTACCATTAAAAACTATCTATTAGAAACTTATAAGAAATTTTAAGTTTCATTAGTTTCATAAAATGAAACAATAGATAATAAAAATTAATATCAATTAGGTGAAAAGTTTTTGAATTAAACAATTATAGATTTCCTTATAACGTACAAGAATCCTTTGCAATGCTAATTCTAATTGCAGAGTCTCGTTACGGCCGGCATCCCGTTTGTAGGGAGGATCGGATCGTCTTACGGAATGGATGTTAATTCGCAGTTCATGGATCGCTAGGAATTGTTCCTACATCAAATGCTCTTTGAAAATGTACTCAATTACATTAAAGAAGTAATAGAAATATTTTCTGCATTTTGTACTACAAATATTTTATTTCTTACTACAACTACTACTGTTCATATTTTGTATCGTACAGAGCAATTATGATAAAAAAAAACTCTTATGTATTATAAACAGTAACTTATATTAACTTAATATTAACAAATAGTAAGGAAAAATTATAATTTTTCCTTCCGATTTTCATAAGTTCACGTAAAGAATATACTCGTAGTAAAAATTAACTAATGTTACGTTTGTAAGCATGTTATAGTTACCGTAGGAGACAGGAAACATGCTAGAAGCAGGAAATTAATGTTTGTGTCAAACACCGGCTTAAACATAGCTACATGTATGGTTCATTGTCTGAACGTGACATTGTCAGGTTACATTGAAAATAGACATGCTGTGCGTGAAATCTTAATATCCGTTCTTAATGTTTGCGTAATTGTGTTTTAACAATTATAATTACTGAAACTACATTGTTACTTAGTAGTAGACAAAGAGATCAAAAAATATAAAGAACAAACGAACTATTCCCAACCGTCACCCCGCACTGACCCCACTTGAGGATAAAAAGATTAATCCGTCCCACCTTTTAGTCCCACCATCACCGATATGGTGACAGATGAAACCGTTATGAAATAAAGTAAGTTTCAAGCGTCCCCTCGTCGCAAAAGCAGGAACGGATGAATCTATTTATTCTCATTTCTTCCCACGTGGGGACAGAGTGACGGCTGGGAATATTCCGAGGAAGCATAGTTAACACTTCACTTGCGACATTTTTCACATGATCCTCACTAACGCTATCTATTAACAGATCCTCAAAACTAAATGTCAATATAATTAATAGTAATTAAATGAATTGTTAATAGGTGTCACTAAATCATATAACTAACATATTACCTTTCAAGGAAGTTACCTGTGAAAAAATGTTATTCACTATGTCCAGTCTATATATTTCTTAAATGTCTTTGGTACTAACACGGATAGATAGCACAATACAATACTAGTACTGTCGATAATGGTCACTGTTACAGTCATAGGTGATAAGATAACACTAAGATACTGCTTAACCAACCAATAAACTAAGCTGATTACGGTAGTTAGTTTTTATATCCTAATTTAGATGACTAAGGGCCTGTCCCACCACTGGCTGATAGAGACTCAGATAGCTTAAAAATAAAATGACGTCACTGTCAGATAAGGTAACAAATTCCGATATTTCCATCACATATTTTACACATTGGATTGTTATCAGATAATTTACAATTTAGTGGGACAGGCCCTATGTTTGTACCAATAAAATCAGTTCATTGACATTATCTGAAAATAATGTCATATGGGTTAATAGACCCAACTTAATTAACCTAACTATTCTCGTCAAAGGCTAATTAATTGGACCACTCATTTCTCACCCCTTAACCCCGGCAATTTAATCTAATGGCATCGAAATGGCCAGTGTTGATTGAGCCACAATTCATCTATTACCCACATTACCGCAATTACAACACGTCACTCTTCATATTAATATTTATGTGGGAACATTAAATTAATTGCGTTTATGAACACGGCCCTAAAAAGCACTTCAATTTTAGGTATGTTTATATTACCAATTAGCTGTTCCACGCGACTAAGTCCATGTGAAATTTAAAAATATAGTCTATGTTACTAAGCGATAACGTAGCTTTCTAATGTTAGAAGATTTTTTTGAAATCGGCCCAGTATTTCTTGAGTTATTTCAATACATACAAATATACAAATCTTCTCTTTATAATATTAGTATAGACTACCTTTAGAGTTACTAACATTACAGTTTATTTGAAATAGGTATATAAACATATAAAATATTTTACAAAGCTTGAATAAAACTTTGAACATAAATAGCATTACATTTGTATTGGAAAATAGCGTCTATAAGCAATGAACCTTGTATTGTCGTAGATTCTGTACTTATGTCTGTCTCAGTGCAATCCTCAATAGTAAAATTATTCGCTTGTAGATCGTAACTATATCCAGCAAATCCAATTCACTTTGAGATTGCACCGTTTAGAATTCATTTAAAACTTATTAACAAATGAATAAAGAACATATCGTTTTACGATGCAATTAATTGTCTCTATCACATCTCCTGAGGATTAGCTCTTTAAGGATATGTTTTTATTTAAATAAAAATTACATTAAAAACATTTTCCTCCTAAGCGTTACCTTAAGAGATTTTAACAAAAATTTGCTAAGGATGACTTGCTAAAGCTAGGATCAAAACATTTATTTTTAAAAGTTGTAAATTTTACTTATTACTTACAGTGTAAAGATTTTTAATAAGACCTCGTAATTTTGTTAAAAAATTTCAACATATTCCAGCTTTCCATTTCTTCTAGACATTCCACTGAAAAACAACGCAATAGTATATTTATTAATTATTTCTTAATATTGAAATAGTAGTTAAATCAGTCGACACTTTATAACTTCTTACCACGTCTTTGATATAAAGGCTGTTATCTAAGTTTTCCGCAGCTAACATGCCCCGCTGAAACGAGTTTAAAAAGAAACTTTTCAAACTGTCGTTTGACGGCGACGGATAATAACATCACGACCTATAACCTTGCCACATCTTGAGTGTACCACATTAGTTCATTTACCTAAACATAAAGAAATGGTAAAAAATGTTAAACCATTTCAAACATATGGATAATTGAGTGTCTCTACTTTTACTTTGTATCGTACGACGGCTGGAACATAAAAAGCAGTCATTCACAACTAAGAGACTCCAAACCTACTATAAGGCTACGACCTACTATAGTCAACCATACTAACCCATGCCGGTTGGTTGACCAAAAAGGTCTTCACCAATATATGCAGTGTATGTTTTCCTACAACATTGCAACTTCAAACGTCATAACATATTCGTATAAATCGTTTGATAATGAAAATGGGGCATGAAAGTAGCATTTAAAATTGCATACGCGCTAGGTTAGCTACAAACGCGGCAGCAGTGAACGTGCAGTGAAAAACGACAATCGAAATGTCCCCGTAAAGGAAACTATGACAGTGTAATTAAAGCGACGGCAATTAGCGCGCTTTGAGTTCGTCTATTAATAATGTTTCTTTGCTCAAAGCTTCGCTCGAAAGAAACATGACACAGTAAAGTGTCGCATGGTTTTAATAAAAGATTCAACTTTGGTACGTCACAGTTGCAACTACTGTGGAAACATGTCAGTTTCTATAACAAGAGAGGTGAAGATTCAAGACTTTTCTATTTTTTTTATTATTATAATGGTAGTATAATAGGGGCAAACGACGACGGTACACCTAGGTAGTCAACAACGCCCGTGGACATCCGCATCACGAGAGAAACTACGATGCGATGCTGTCCTCTGAGGAAATTATAGGCTCGCGTCTTGAAGAACCCTAAGTCGTATTGGTGTGGAAATACCGCCGAGGACAGATCGTTCGACAACGCGACTGTCCGAAGCAGAAAGTTATGCGAAATATTGTGGTATTTTAACTATTTTCAACAGTTTAATTGTAATTTTAGTGCTAGTAAATGATTGATTTACGCAAAGAAGAAATGTTTTACCCTGACTAAATGTTACGTTGCAAGAATGGAATGAATTTCTAGTGAATATGCATTTGCTGGCAAGAAATTAAATTTTTACAACACAAGGAGTTGGATACAAGTTAATAACACAAGGAGCTAGAACCTACATAACATAAGGCGAGGCCTCGATTATAAAATGAAGTTCAATTTGAAATTCCATATAACTCGAGCAGCATTTTAATTAAGAAACGTTTGAGAGCTAAGGTAAGTATTTGAATTCCAAGAACTGATAAACGAACAAAGGCTTCAAGTGTTCGAAATTTCTTAAATTTTACCTTTAATATTAAGATAGTAAAGTAAATGGATTCTTAACTTCGTAAATAAATATAACGTTTTAAATTATATTAAACAATTAATTGACGCTGTTTATTTGGGTCAAGTCAAATCTATAATGTAACATTAAAACTATAGTTTTCTTATTTTATAGATTTATATATATCAATAGTAAACAAGAATTTAAAAATATATCAATAACGTTACAGTCTCTTCAAAAACATAGCTTCTATGTTCATAATTTCAAAACCGTAAGGGTTAGCGACAGATTCAAAGTTCTAACAAAAGTCATTGTAAATAAATAAATAAATAAATAAGTAAATAAATAAATAAATAAATAAATAAATAAATAAATAAATAAATAAACTGTACATGTGTAGGCAAAATTCAACTGTATATTTCTAATTACACACACTGATTTAACTGATCAGTTCGAGTATTCAGTTAAAACTGTCATAACTGTGTATCATACTTATAGTTTAAGTTATGCGTTGAATTTATGACAGTTTGAATAGTTGTAATTATTAGACAAGTTTAAATTTAATTAGATTTAATCTAACCTCTCTTGTAAAGTTTAATATGAGCAGTATAACATTGTCACTTTCAACTAACTAAAGATACAAGAAGTTGAACTGAAGATACAAGACAATAATGAACATAAAGTGAACATAGCAATATATATTCCAGTTTATTTTAACACTATAACAATGTATCAATAAATATTAGAGTATCTAAATACACACAAATATCTTATGTATTCGATATGACATATATTTTATACTAGCTGTTCCCGTGCGGCTTCATCCGCATGAAATTATAAAAATTTATTTTATTGTTTACATTTGTCAAATTATCAATAGCAAATGTCAAAATGACATGACAATCTTACTTACTTGATGTTGGCAGCAACTTATGGTCTCTTTACCACATTAGGGTTTTTATCCAAAATATTTAAGTTTAATGGCGAGAAAATATATATATATAGCCTTATAATATATTATATATAGCCTTAAGCACCTTATAATATATATAGCCTTAAGCATGACGTAAGTGTAGGGCTTTTTATTAAAAAAAAGTATTATTCAAAAATATGCTGTAATTGCTGACATCTTAGGCTACAAAGAAGTGTGTGTTTACGCTTTATTATAATAGTATAGATAAACCATGCAATAGTTTATGTTGTACATTGTATGTAGACAATACACTTGCTGCGGTCGCACCAATTTATGTAGCGTGTCTTAAACCTTGGCACGGACTATCTGTGAGCAAAGCGCTTCCTTTATCTCAAGTCTGCTTTAAATATTGAAATGTTAGCTTTACAAAAATATCTGTTGTTAAAATTTTACAATTGAACTTATTTTTCCATAAAACAAGATACATTATAAATAAAAAACATGTTTTCATAAGAGAAGGGGGCAAACTAGGCGCGGAAACACAAGGCAACGACGCCTTTGTGTATCCACAATACCAATACCGGCATTTGGAGAAATGGTACGCTCGCTCCTTGAAGGTCCCTAAGTCGTATTGATTTGAAAATTCTGGATAGAATAGACAACACAACGCGGCTGATTTTCACTACGACAAAGCATTAAGATTAGGAACTCTGGTCATACTAGCTTCCGCCCGCGACTCCGTCCTCGTGGTATTAATAAAAACAAAAGAAAGTAGCCTATGCGTTTTTCCAGACTATCCTCTACATCTGTGCCAAATTTCATCCAGATCCGTTCAGCCATTTAGGCTACCAACTTTAACAAACATCCATCCATCTAAACTTTCACATTTATACGAGTAATATTAGTAAGAATAATGCATTTATCAGATTGCATTTAAAGTAAGTAAAAAGTTACAAAAACGTCTCTATTAACAAATTTAACATTGTCATCATATTCTTAGCAGATATTTAAAACCGTACCGTTTACAAACATACAGTGAATGCATGAAAAATGACGTCACTATTCGAAATGAAAATTTAAAGATCTTCAGCAAAGTAAAATACATGTTTTTAGTTACCGCAAAAAGTAATATTGTCTGAATATACACGTAAAAGTTGTGTAAAGTTCGCCTTGCCACATTAATCCTAGCTCGGCAACGTCCCAGTAGATACGTAAATCGGATACACAAAGCCACAGCTAGTATTAACACAGTGTTTAGTACTCGCTATTTTCTTTTTTAGAAAACAATACTTGAAATGTACTACTAATAAAAATTAATCATGGCCTTGTTTTGAATATAAAAAAACATAATAAATGCTATATTCTATAACACAATATATGTATATTCAAAAATGTATTTGCAGTTATATTTATATTAAAAAAAAAAAAACAGAATAACAATTAGCAACTTCAGCAATTACTTAAATTAAATTGGTTTAGCTGTGTACAATGCATTTCATTACAACTAACTAATCAACTGTATATTTTTATATGTTAAAAATTCCTTGTTTTATCACATTTTCTTTACATTGCACGCGCTTCATATCTTGAAGTAAATTGTACATATCACTACTCACTGTTTGTAAGAATTCCGTCCACAATCGCTTTAGACCGAAAACAAGCTGTAGGCACTAAATTAATGAACGTCTCAAACATTGGTATACAGCATGAATAGCTCTCTCCTTTGTAGTTTGACAAGCTTACTATGCTATTAAATATACGATAAATTTGTTTTTAATTGAAAAAAAAAACATGAATTATATTATATAGTAAAAACTATGAACGAACAAGGAGTTTTTAAAAATAGGATACACTCATTCGCAAAGAAATTTAAATCTCGCAAAAAATATTGAAATATGAATCTGACCTCTAAACGAAGGCCTATTGTTTCGTAGGGATTCTATAAAAAATAGTATTACAATCGTATAAAAGTTCTAGCACGTACAATTCCCCTTCTCATCGTGTCTCTTCGGGAAAATTGAGTTGTCCAACACAGTTTATAGGAAGGGCAGAGTGTGTTCTGAATAGTAATGTCCTTGTAATAACATGGAATTTAATGAGAGTGGTCTTTCAAAAGTTTGACTGAAGAGCCAGATTCATACACATTTTTTCCTTTTGCGGACACATTTATTCCAATATATAAGATCACACACAATCTATATCTATATCTATACTAATATTACAAATACGAAAGATTTGGATTTTTGGATTTTAATATGTATTGAAATAACTCATAACTACTCGGCCGTTTACCAAAAATTCTTACACCATTAAAAAGCTACGTTATCGATAAGTAACTTTTTTTTTAGCGGACGATGTCGTGAACAACAGCTAGTCATCAAAAACATTGTAATTTAACATATATCTTATATCTTTCAAAATGAAATGTCTTTAGAAGTCTTTCTTAATGTTATAGCTAGTACGTTAAATTAAATTAAAGCTAGTTACAGATATTTTTTGTCATTGGAACAGATGATGTAAAACCATTTTTAAATCTTTTTCTTCAATACTAACTGTTCCCATGCGGCTTCACCCGCATGAAATTATGAACGTTTTATATTATTGTTTACATTTGTCAAACTATCAATAGCAAATGTCAAAATGACATGACATGACAAACCTTGGCAATCTTGCTTCCTTGATGTTGGCAGCAACTTATGGTCTCTTTCTCACATTAGGGTTTTTATTTAAAATATTTACCCCTAAGTTCAATTGCTTGAAAATATATAGCCTAAAGCGTAACGTAAGTGTTGGGTTTCTTATTAAAAAATGATTATCCAAAAATGTGCTGTAATTGCTGACATCTTAGGCAACAAAGAAGTGTGTGTTTACGCTTTATTATAATAGTATAGATATATATTTTCCACGTCCTTATTTTTTGCATTCAATATGAAACAGAAAAACATTTTACGAATTAAAATAAAACCATATTTCCCAAAGACCAAATAAATCTGAAATAACGTATTTTAATTCAGGTGAGCCGCATTCGTGTAAAACTCTACGAGAGTACGAATTTCCATAATGGCCCCGACATTCGTAGGTTTCAAGCATTTTATTGGTTTTATGTTGGACCCTTTTTTAGTAATATTCCTACTCGCTTTTTTATTTTTACGAATATAAATATGAATGTTAGTAATCTACTTGTTTAATATCGCAAATATAAATATGTACGAGTAAATTTCTCTTGGATATTACTAACGAAAAGTTGACAGATGAAGTTGATTCGTGGTATAAATAGTTACTAAATAATAATTTAAATTTAAATTTACTGTGTCATATTAATTAATTATTAACTGTTTGTGGATTACCACAATCATTAGATTTCCTACAGATTTTTTTGTTCTTTTATTTTTTGTGTGTGAAGAAAATATCTTTATCCTTGTAGACTAGACAAAAATGCGATTCTCAAGAGATTTTTCTTTTTGTTTGTTGCTAAGATTTAAATCCAGTGTATGGTTATAAATTTCATGTGCTGAACAGTGCAACTGGCGTGCACAATGAAACTTCTTGAGATTTATATCTTCATTATATCTGTCAACGACGATAAATATATTATTAAAGTTTTGTTATTTAGATAACTGTTGTCATTTGTTATTTTTTATTAAGAGTTTATTTATTAGTTTGTTTGATAAGTCCTGTAAATAATTCCATACACTATTATCTTCATCACTTTATCGGATTATTTATCGATTTATGTAATATATACGTAGATTTATCCGTAAAACAGTTATATCATAAATGGCGATAAGATTTATACAGTTTATACTTTGGTACATACATTTTAGAGTTTATTACATTTGCAAATTGTTACCTCAAACTAGTCCTAAAAGTTAAGCGATAACGTTTTTAAAAAATGACCTTAAAATATAACCCGACAACACCACATGTTCGACATATAAATAACTTTTACATTGAAGTTAAAGCCCGTTATATATGTATGGACAAAACTTTAACAGAATAGTTCAACGGTTCATTTAATAAAAAGCATAATCAAAATCGGTCCACTAGCGGCGGAGTTATGACGTAACACATAAAACATAAAGACGAATTGAGTACCTCCTTTTGGGAAGTCAGTCAAACATATTAGTTAAAACGGAACTTTATTTGAATAAATAAAAATAAATGGATTTAATTAATTTTAGTTAAGATCTTTCTTCAAAATATGAAAAAGAATATTTAATATAAAGTTAATAAATATGAATTTACCATTGATGACAAAAAGCTGGCTGTCGGCGCATCGTTTTCCTGCACCATTTGTCTTTTGTGATAAATTTTCTCGCTTCGTTGAACTGTTCCATATTTTTTATGCGATGAACGGTAAATGTATTCCGCAAAATAAAATTTATAAAAAAACGTTACATTCATTTTTAATATATCTTCTTTTATTTCTATAATTTGTTTTCATTGCTCAACTATCCTAGAAATAAGTGTAATAAAACCGTATACGTATAGTTTTAAAAGAGTTCTCTGTTCATTTAGACACAGAAAGTCTATTAACAAATAATAGTTACGTTCTTTTGTAAAAGGCTTCTAAGCCCTCATATATAGAAATAAAATTTAATATATCGTCTGATAGAATTCTTGGAATTATAAAAAAGATAAACGTCATAATTTGGAACAGATAGTTATAGAGGTGCTTTGCATTGAAAATTTATTGCTTTAACATTTACGCTCTGCCCTAATAGAGGTGAAGCAGCAAAGCGAAGCCGCTATTAAGTTCTCGGTACTTTAGCAGGATTTATGTGTCTACAGCATCCATTTGCCATACGAATTAGGGAATGGAGTAATGGTTACTAGACGATGTGTGTGGTTTTATTTCAAAGTACATTGTTGTAATATGAAAGATTCTATTTTTAGAATTTATATTTAAATCTATTTACATTTATAATCTATGTACATTGACCTTTTTTTTAATTAATTATTTTTCAAGACGACCAACTTTTAATGCCAATAACACGAAGTTAGAAATGTTTCTGCGCCTCAGCAATAGAAACATCTATCGCATATATCAAATTAAAACATTTTCTAAATTAAATTATTAACATAAATGTAGATAACCATACTGATGCTAAATAAGTTTTTAATAGCAGTATACTGATATCGTTGATAATGTTATGGTAACCTAGTGGTCAGCATATAACTCAGAATATTAAATTTAATCCAGTTGTGAACGTGAAACGAGCGCGAGCGCACGTCAATATTTTTTAACAAAATTTCATGTTAGTGTAGTTATTTTTTTAAAAAATTAACATGGATTGGCTAGACACAAAGCCAGGTAAGTTTTACGATATTACGAATAATAAACATTTTAATAGATTTAAGATAACTATTGCGATTAAATACGCTTGTTTTAAATTCGCAAATTACTCCTTTTATCTATGTCAGAGGTTGTTTACAATGGCACACTTAACTGACTAGATAGTCGAAATCAAACTGTGCAGTCACAGATCTGTTTAGAAAATATAAAGTGAAAAGTATTAAACGTCAGTAGTTCATTGTACAATATTTAACGGTCATTGACCTCAACTTGTACACGGCATCCAATGCCTAAGAGAAATGACAAACAAGACATAACGTTATTTTTAAAATTAGTATTGATGTAAAATGGTCGAAGCAAAAATCGAACAAGAAACGTAGCAAAATGTGTGGGTATTTAAATTTTCACAATAACTACGATTACGAAAGCGATAATTTCAAATAATCCTCTTCATTTTTCTTGCAAGTTAATTTAAAAATTGCTTTTCTGTTGCAGTTTTATTTGCGGACAAATATCGCATAGAATGTTTGTCGCCTGCTACATTCCCGGGCGCATTGAGAGTAAGCAAGCTACTTAAGTAAATATTAACTATGGTTTATTTGTAATTTTCGTAAAATTCGTTTTTCTGTTTTTTTCATCATCGTATTGTGTTAATTTTGCAGGTTATAAAAGAATCGTTCTGTCAAGATGAATACGTGAGCATCGGCAGTGAAGTGAATAAAAATCCGATAGCAGCGGAAGAGTTACTGGAGCTATGTGCGGACGCAGCGCTTGATGGTGTATCTTTGGTCGCGGTTGAAGTCGCTACAAATGAAGTTGTTTCCGTCGCTTTCAACAAAATTCAAGTAAACACTATAAAATCTGCTCTAATTCAGTTCATCGTACTTGATACCAATAAGAATTTATACAGTATGATCAATTGTCTGTTCAAGGTACAATCTTCTAGTGGATCGGAGAAGCCATTTTTCGAAGTATTTGCGGATGAACGTTGCACTCAAGATTCCTCGCGTTCACTTATTCAATTTATGGCGACTGTAGACGGAAGGTGCCATCTATTTGTTAAGTAAGTGAAGAAGGTCTTTCATTTAAACTTTTAAAGCGTGCGCATAACTTAAACAAAACTATCGCATAACTGTTTAGTCGCGCTTTGATTCCTATGAGCTAATGAGGTGTGCACACTACTCGATTTTAAGTGCAACTAAATAGTTTAACTAAAATAATCGACAATCGCACAACTGTCGTGCGATAGTTTAGTCCAAGTTGTGCGCTCACTCTGAAAGTTAAAAATGTATAGTTAATTATTTATTATAAAATATTGTGAGAAGCTATAAACGGTTCTATATTCTTTTTTATTTCTATTATAGATACGGTGTTGACTGCAGTCTTGAACTAATGTTCCTTGCGACGTTACGAGAACATAGACATAAAAAATTAGGCATGATCTTATGTAAGTACTCTGTGGAACTTGGTAAGCAGATTAAAGATGGTCCTGTTGCCAAATTAACTGTACAAGACCTTGGTCCGAAATATTCTATGCTTAAATCGAGGGAACTTGTCGGAACCTATCCAAAGATATGTCAAGCTATTTGGACGTCTATAGGATCTCAAAAGATCGGCAAAGTTCTAAATTTTAAAGTTCATTTAACTGTACCTTTAAAAGAGTTTATTTTTGAAGGAAAGCCATACACGGAGCGAATAGGTGATGAAAACGCTTTTTGTGAAGTAGCCGCTATATCTCTATATTAGACTTAATTATTTTAAGTTAGTTTTAATTTAATGAGCAAGGTATTTAATTAACAAACCATCGTATTTACTTTAAGGAAAAATATGAGATAAAAACTTAGATTATATGCTAATAAAATGTGCGAATGTTCACTTCATTGTGTTTTTATTAAAATCCAGATAACTTTTTCAAAAACACGTATTTAATTTAATTTCTGACAAGAATAAAATGTTATTTGATAAACTTCACTGTAATGTGTTTTGTTTTGAGTAACGTATTGTTTTAAGTTAGCGCACAGACTAATGAACAGCGTGACTTCGCACAATCGATTTAGCAGTGTCATCCTTTTAATTTGTGCTTCTATTTCTACTCGATTAAAACGAATTTATAATTTATAAACAATTCGTTTTTAGTTAGTCTTATACAACGTTATACAGATACAAGTTTATGCATCAGTGATGGTATTGACCTTGCAAGAAAAAATCTAGCTTGTGTGAGACATGTCTGTACAATTAAATATACTATGAATTACTATTATGCATGCAGTCACGGCTTCAAGGTTAAGCCGATGCGATACCTAACGTGTGTGGCTTGCGTAATAGTTACAAAGTAAATAAGAAAGGTATTTACAAGTATATAGCTCGAACTGATCTTTATTCATAATGCGTTTTCGTTATCCATCCTTCATCAATAGAGGATAAATTTTAATCGTTCCTCAAGATCGGACGGATCTCAATAGGGCCGGGATCGAACTTAGCTTTGCAGCACTTGAAATTCAAATCCCGGACCAGATATTAATCCAACCCTATTGTTACCCGTTGCCATGACAACGCGCCTTGTTACCTTTTGATTTATATCGTTAAGGAATATAAGAATATTTTATATGCTTACTTTAAGTATACAATGTAAATGTTTTTTTTTTTTTTAATGTAAATGTTGTTCACTTAACTTGTTAAATAGAGTTTTTTCTTTATAATCATATAGCCCAGAACTTGGTCGATCAAAAATGCTTTCGAAGAAGACTCCTTTAAGTCAAGTTCCTATTCGTATCCTTTCTAGAAAATATTTGTATTTAATTATATAGCAAATTTATATGACGTTGAAGTTTCATGTGAAATAGATGCTAAAACAAATTGTACTAGGAAACAGAATGCATGCCAGTCACACAAGTGGATATGCGAGAGGCCGAGAATAGTCGAGTATCTAATGACTTCCAAAGCTAAGCCTTTGATCGCTTCCGGTTCCAGTGAGTGAAATTTAATATTACAGTATCCGGTACCAAGCTTAATTACCACTACGCTTTGTTGGATCATTTTGCGTTTGTTAATTTAAAAAAGTATGTGAATACGTTATTTCCATTTAAATTTTAGATTTTAGAAGTAAACAATACACTATCCGTATATATATATATCAAAACAATTAAGTAAATTGTTAGAGAAGAATAACAATAACTGAAGTCTTCTAATAGAAACTTCAGATTAAATTTATTCAACAAGGTCGGAATCTACAAAATATACTTGAATTCAGGTAACCATGTTCCTTGAAGAGCTCGTACAGCGAACCTTAATTTCCATAATCCTTCTGACGTCGTAGTTTTAAAGTATTTTCTTTGTACAACTAACCTTTTCGTATTCGGAGGCAACATTTTATTTTATTTTGTAGACGTTTTATGGCTGCTGAAATATATTCTTCATTCGATTACTTATATAACGTATTTTAAAATATATGAATTTGTTTTTTTAGTAATTGTAGTTGAATACAAGACTAATTTTATATTTTTTTCCAGTTTAATACTTTATTAGGTAAGAAAGCGATAACGCCAATCGGTCGTTGCCTTATTAAATCCTTACCCCGTACTTTTATGCATATTAGTGTCTCGTACGAATAGGTGAACGTTCTTATTCAAATGACATTAAGGACAAATAATGTAAATGACGTAATTTATTCTGCGTATCAGTCTTTAGTAGTTCATTCTAATATTGTTATTACTAACAGTGTGAGTAGTTTGGCAAGTTGTAGGGTTTCAAATATGAAATGATATTTTTTTTAATTGTATAGTTTTAAAAAACCGAAGCGCCAATAGCCTAATGGGGTACAGAGGGGTAGGGGTACAGATTTCATCACGCGGTCGAAGGTTCGAATCACGCCATTCGAATAACGTCGTGAACCATATCCTAACACAACTTAGTTGGACTGTTAAAAGAAATATTTGTTAATTAAGAAAAATCTACAATTACATATTTACGAGCTTCCGCCCGCGACTTCGTCCGCATGGAATTAAATAAAAACAAAAGTGAGTAGCCGATGTGTTCTTCCAGGCTATCTTTTCTATCTACATATACCAAATTTTATCGAAATCCGTTCAGTCGTTTAAGCTACAAACTCTATCAAACATCCATCTAAACTTTCGCATTTGTAATATTAGTATGATTAAAAAAATACTTTTAGATTAAATTTTGTATTACAAAAATCAGAAGGTCCTGATCAAGGTTAACTTAATCTTTTACGGTATAGGACATAAAGATATTTAATCGTTAAGACCGACCAAGAACTCGGAGGATATTAACTTTCGAAACGATCGTAAAATAGTTATAGTACAACCGTATCTTTAAATTCTTACAATAAGAAAGAAATGCAGTAGACAAAATTGAAATTTCTTTGCTATAAGTTAAGATCCAAGATTTCTTTGACTTGTAAAATCTTTACGCGTTTTTCTTATGACTAAATAGTAACCAATTTTAAAAAAGCCATTAAAAACATCCGAAAATGGCAACATAACTTCAAGTAAGCAGCTTAATAGATCACCTTGTTTAGGCTAAAAAAAAGTATTCAATTTGTTTTAAATTATTTTAATTATTAAAAATGTTATAAAACTATAAAATCTCTAAATTACTTTTAATAAAAAGTTAATTCATATCTTTTTTGTCATCTTTCGAAGCTTTGAAATAAAACTTGTTCCAAGAAAATTATTAATGGAAGACTTAAACGCACTAATTGCAGTCGCGCTAATTACACTGTGCTAGGTTCCTACAATGTACTTAACTTACACCTGTTAAATAATACGAAGAGATATTATTATGAACTTCTTTCGACTTTCTCGTATAATAATCCCTCAATTACGAGATGCGTGTCGATATAAAAAAGGAAATCAATATATAACTTCTTCTTGCCATTGCTTTTTTCAAGGAAAAAAAATTGAAGTAAACTTTCTATGAACTTGAGTTTTAAGTAACATATTTACAGTTAACTTTTTTATAACTTGGACCATACGCAATAGTGTACATTACCTTGTGCAACTAAACTGTTTACTCGTTGTGTTAACGGCGGAAAAGTGCATTTAATTCTTTTTCACAGTACGTTACGATGGAAAATAAAAGCAAAGGCTTCTTTGTGCCTAAGAATGTACAAACGCGTTTGCATTTTTAATTCCCTTAAGGCTTTTTATATCTCCTGTTGAAATTAATACTGTACATGATGGTTTAAGTATAACATTTACTTTATATATATTCACTTATCGAAAAGAAACAAATATTAACTAAATTCTTCACCAACGATATTTCCCTACCATTATTCATCTCATTGTCTTGCTTCTTTTTTTCTTCTTGCTTCATTCAGTTTCGCAGAAAGTGTAAACTAAATAAAATTATATAAACCAAAATTAATGTAGTCACACAAATACTTATAGAAAATATATAAACGTTGCAATCATCTGACCGTTTGTATTTTATAAGGTTAAAAACGTACAATAAAGAACGAACTTCCTTTAAATTTAAAACAAACTCAAACCCCCAAATGTACTATTATTCCGGCCACAAACGAAGCATAAAAATCAATGATCTACAATCTTCAAACAGCGATTTCACACAACACGGCGCGGGTACGTTCGTACCCTACGGAAGCAGTACTTCCCGTGCCCGCTGCCAAGCGCACGGTTCACTTTACACAAAACTGCTACGATAACTGTTAGCGTTTTACTACATATTTCAGTAACTATATGTATTTTATACTGTCCTTCAAAAGCAAATACACTTTTAAAAATTTAAACTCTTAAGAAAAATCTATAATAGTTAAAAATTTTAAAATGTAATCAATACCACTTTTTTTATTGACAGACAGTATAAAAAATTAGAGTTATTCATAAAGCACATCCATGATTATTTAAACAGTAGTTGTTGCTCGCGACTTCGTCTGCTTGAAATTACAAAAAGTAGTAAAAAACGCAGCCTAAGTTACTTACTGATGACGTGACGATGTTTAATGGTGAAATAATTTTAAAAGTCGGTTCTACTGTTTTTAAGTTATTTTTAAATACATGTAAAAAATCTTTTTTTTATTTAATAATAGTATACATAGATGACATAAGAATTATATGCTTTATTTTTAGGTTATGTAAAGCAGTTAATATACACGTAGTGTTAAATTGATGTAAAGTCTGTTAAAATACACTGTAAATACAAAAGTTGTCCTACTAGCTTTCCTTTTAAGTCTGTATTGTTGAAGCCTTGTAACTTTAACAAGCTTAAAGAGTTTTACTTGAAAGACTAGACATGTTGATCTAATTTGTTCCAACTGTGTACTTCCTTTTAAAAATGATTATGATAATGATCTACTAATAATCGAAACATCAGTATTAGACATGTTTCAGTTGTACTTACTTCGTCTACAACCTTACCTAAATTTTTAATGATACTTCATACTTATCTTACTTCTTACTGAAATTATAAATGCGAAAGTTTAAATGGATGGATGAATGTTTGCTAGAGTTTGTACCCTAAACGGCTGACCGTAATTGAACAAAAATTTTCATAAATGTAAAAAGTAGTCTAGACGAAGAAATAGGCTACTTACTTTTGTTTTTTTTTAATTCCACACGGACTACGGAAAGCTAGTTGTAACATGCTTTGTGGCTTTGCTGGATTTTGTGTTAATAAATCAGAACCATATCAGAATGTTATTAAGTATTTAGATTTAAATTATTCAGTAATAGTTATAATATACAATATGTGAGGTAAATAATACATTTAGAGAGACAAAGCGTTAGCAAAGTGATCGTCAGACAAAGGATGGCATGTCTATGCGATGTTTAGGTATTGTTCGTCACGAGGCTCGGCGCACGCCACATTAATTTACAGAATGAGTCGCGTCTCCTGTCTCGAGAGCTTCCCACTTCACAACCGTTACGAAGAATTTGTCTCCTCAAACAACATTTTACTATAACAAATATTTATTAATAACTACAAGAATTAATTAAAATATGTATATAATTAAAAATTAGAACCATTACTCGAAAGCTTTGTATATATACCTTTCTGAAGGTTTTAAAGCGACAGAATGTTCTGCCGCAATATGCTATACCATCAGAAGAAATATATTTCTTACTTATACACGCTTATATGGTAAAATAACATCAAGTAATTACGAATAAACTTTTTTAATCCAGAAAGGGTGTGAGATGTCTAAAACAAATGAATAAATTACTAGACCTAAAATAAAAAAGAATTATACAAAAATTCTTCATTATCTATCTTACTAAACTTTAAGAGCATTTACCTTTGACTATACTATCGCACAACTGTTGTGCGATTGTCGATTGTTTCGAAGTTAGTTCAACTGTTTAGTTGCAAAACTAAAATCGAGTAGTGTCCGCACCTCCATACAAGCTCATAGGAATCAAAGTGAGACCAAACAGATGTGTCTTAGTTTAGTATCAGATGTTTGCACTAATTATTTCTATTATTTCATAATGTCCTACATCAAATAACAATAGATATTGATTAAATGACACTCTTTAACATATGTATATATATATATATATATTTGGAAGCATGTGCTGAAATTTGTATGTAATCAGTGTGAACATTCTCGCAAAGGGTGGTACAAGATTAAAGTCGACACACATGGGAACGTTGTAATTTGGAATGTGAATACTTCTGGTCTATATGGGAACATTCGGAAGATTTATAGATTTCATAATACCCTTGCTGCCTCAGTGATAATCGTAAAATTTTATGTACCATGTATATTCCTTACAGTAAGTTTATTTGTATAAAATATAAATAACTATCAACTGTTTATTTTAGAATGGAATGAAAAAAAATGTCTACGCGTGTGAGAAATACTCGATATATACTTTTATCTTAATATTTCTAAAAGACTTCGAAAGAACATTAAAATGTATAAGAAAACAACATTATTTACGCCGAAGTGGTCGTTAAGTTTCTTTTTGGTCTATAATTTAGGAGCATCGTAAATTTCTAGTTCGCGAACTTAATGTGTTTTCGATTGTTTAAGTAACGAAATCCCCTCTTTGAGACAAAACAGATCCCAAAGTAAAGAAAACATTACGTGCAAATAGAAAAGTTATTTGCTTTACTCCGAAAAACAAAACAATGCTGCAAATTCATCTTCAGATTATTTAATTCAGTATTAAATCAAGTTATATTTCTTTTTAATTCAAATAATACATCTTTGTAATGGTAAACATTTACTTATTAGAAGGTTAATAACAAAAAAGTGTTACAATTTAAACTAAAAAAAATTTTTAACGTAAAAGCCGAGTTCGGTAAAGGTCGCACGTCCTAATTCTAAATCTTACAAGAATGCCCATTGTCCTTGCAACCCTTTCGATCCGCAATACACAACCCTAGTATTTTATTCTTGACTTTTATTGCGACATTATTTTCGTATTTATCCTTTTCGGTCAATCTTTTAAAATAAAAGTTCGTGAATGTGTTACATCCTTTATTGCGTCCTATACAATATTTTACACTTTAAAAAGGGATTATTCCCAACCGTCACCCGCTCTGTCCCCTCATGGGGACAAATGAGAAAGAAAGGTTTTATCCATCCCACCTATTGCGACGAGGGGACGGTTTGCTTTTCTTAAGGGTTTCATCTGTCACCTTATTGGTGATAGTGGGACTAAAAGGTGGGACGTATGAAACTTTTTATTCTCATCTGTCCCCATGTGAGAACAGAGTGGGAAGACGGTTGGGAATAATCCTTAAAAAGGACTATCACGTATGTTTCCGTCATCGACGAAAATGGAAACTGTTTGCAGAAAACAAAAATAGTTTCTCCTGAACAATTTTAAATGTGCTATGTCAATAAACATGTCAAAGCGTAGGATGTAAAATTATTCAATAGAACACACGAATTTATTTACTGCACAGTTGTTACTGCCATTAATAAAAAGAAGGGTCCCCTCTCGTCTACGAATCTGTATCTGACATCATAATTTACACCTTTCTTATACTTTTCCTCACAAATATGAATTGAAATACACATGTGTTATGGTGTAATTTCTAATGTTTATTTAATACTAGCTGTCGCACGCGATCCCGTCCACGTGGATTTAAAAAAGAATAAAAGTGTTCTTCCAGACTGTGCTCTACAACTATCCAAATTTCATCGAGATCCGTTCCGACATTCGACAAACTAATAAACATCCATCTAAACTTAATCATTTATAATATTAGTAAAAAGTAAGATAAGATAAAACTAAAAGAAAATGTTTTAGAAAAGTTTAACTAATCTACTAATAATCTGGTATCGTAATTCTTATGTATGCGAAAGTTTAGACGATGAATGTTCCTTACGTTTGTGCAGAACGTTGTTAGGCATTGGTGTAGAACATAGTCTGGGAGAATAGATAGATATTTTTTTTAATTTCATACCGATCGAATTATACAGCTAGTAATGTTATAAAGAGTTGCACAATATTTAAAAATACACATCAAGTTATGTAGTTCAAATATTTATTTGAAATCGAAGATATACGCTGTGGAGAGAGACATTATCTAGTAAGTATGAAAAATGAATGTGAAAGATAAAAGCAATATAGTGTTCTATTCCCTCCCCTTCAATAAGAAATCTTTTTCCTTGAGTTAACACTTTTGCGTGTGGTACTGCTTATAACTCTGTTATTTTGTCAAACACTTTTAAATATCTCTCAATATTTTCTATCAAAACATAAAAAACACTAGAATTATTTTGAAATAATTTTACACTGTTATTAATTCAAAGTTTAACCGATAATTATTAACAACAAAAATCAGCATAAGGTTAAATAATATAAAAAGTATGTTTTATAAAATTGTATTTCTTTAAACACGTTTAATAAAGGTATATGCAATTTAACAATCAATATTAGTAAAATATATGTAGATTACAAAAGTTTTATTTCAAGTTTTAGTCTTTCGCTAGCCATATATCTGATGTGCAATCCCCACCAGGATATCTGTGGAAATAACAAAAGAATTAGATTAATTAAACGTCTTTGTTAATTAAAAAAATGATAAGAAATAAATCTTTTCTGTCTCATCTCTGAGTCATATCCTAGACCGAACTATTACACTGCTCCTTTTCCCAACTCCGTGTTGTAGCAAAGCTTGTAACTCACGTTTGAATTTTAATTTCGAATTTGTAAAATGTAAATAAAAGGAAATCAAACAGAAATTCTAAGCTTTTAAAAGCTTAGCTAGCTCGATGTGACATTTTAAATAAAATTACCTCATCTCATGAGCCAGCACCGGTCCATTTGGCTCACATCCAAAATCTATGAGGAAATCTGGATCCAATTTCAAGCCACCATTTTCTATATCCACATCGAGCTTGACTATCCATCCACCCTGGAAAAGATATGCTTTTAAGATGTCGGTGCGTATATTTCATTTATATTTTCGCTAGTAAATTGTAGTCAAATACCAATCGTATTAGAATAGATTATACGACAGCTATTATTTTCTGATTATTTCAAAAAAAGAAAAAACGATTTTTCAAATTTAATAATTAATAATTACCTTTTGTACCATTTCAGGATAAAGTTGCTTATCCCAAGGGGAGTAGAGGGACGATGATACATACATTCGTTTGCCGTCCAAAGACAGTTGGATCATCTGGGGTGATCCGTACAAACGCCTGTTCTTAACGTAAATCGGTTCTGGTGACGTTTCCTAAGAATTATAAGAAGCAAATATAATCAATTGTAATTCTTCTGTAGCTGTATTTCTTTATTCTGTGTTTTAAAAAGGTAGTTACTAAGATGCACTGATTCTATTTCGCAGGAAAAAAGGTTGAGTCGGAATATTAATCAAACTCAAAGTGAGTCAACTTGACTATTATTGTTAGTGAGAGGTTAGGAAATGCTGTGTCGTCTTCTGTTTTTGTAGATTAAATAATAATATTAACCTGGAATTCTTTGTCTTCAACAACAGTTAGACCATCATTGATAATTTTACCGCCCAGGACAATACGGCCTGTTAATTTCGGGTGATCAGGATCGGTGATGTCATACTGTCGAATGTCACCGTGCAACCAACATGAAGTGTACAAATATTTATCATCCAATGATAAGAGTATATCAGACATCAAACCTGCAAGATATAAATATGACTTAGATCTTGATTTTATCAAATACCAGCTTTCTCCCGCAACTCCGTCCGCGTAAAATTAAGAAATAATATAAAACATAGCATATGTTACTCATCGACAACGTAGCTTTTTGATGGTGACAGAATTTTTGAAATCGGTCCAGTAGTTTTTGAGTTATTTTATTACAATCAAACAAACCAAGTTTTTCCTCTTTATAACATTAAGTATGAAAATGTATATCAGTAAGATTTCTCATTCTCTAAAAATATCGACATAAAAAACTGACTAATATTGTTAAGCAATACTTACCAATTTTGATAATATACTAAGTAAAGATTGGGAAGGATAGTCGTTATTAATATGTATTTTAGAAAAACAAATATTTACCATCCAATTTGAATTCCTTGCCATCTTTCTTGACAGTTTTAGCTGGAATGTCAATAACTTTTTTCGCTTTCCAAGTACCATCCGAAGTTATGTTGAAACTTGATTTATGGGAGAAAAAACACAAGAAAAGTATAACATATAAATATAATTTTGAAACCTTAGAATAAAAGTAAAATAACGAATGCAAAATCGTTGTATAGTATCTACTTGAAAGAAAGAACTAGTTTGTTGGCAGATACTGGTTTTAAGGGTTTTAGTTTGTTTTAATTTTAGCAGCATATTTAGCATTTAGCAAATATATTGTATTGCTTTTGAATTTATAATCGTTATCAATCACATTCGTAAATATCTTATACCGACTGATTTATATCACCCCTTTATCCCCTTTTGAAATGATTTTATTAATTGAGACAGTTGACATCTCATCTGCAAATATATCCTGAAATGATTACTACAGACTTTAGAAAATCTTTACCTAAACACGTTAGCTTGCACTGCGCATCCTACAAAACCCTGAGAGGACTTTGGCTCATGAAGGAACCTGATCTCAAGAGGACCACAACCTTCATCACCTAAGTCTATCACTTGCATCAGTTCACGAGTAGACCACTTGTAAAAATTGAGAGAAACTCCGTACAAATCTCTATTGGGAATATCTTCTTCACGCATACCGCTGTAAAGAAAAAATTATTGTTAATAAGTGAGTAAACTGTACTAATTATAAATTCATTTTATCTGGAAGGTATTAATAGAAATTCCAAAGCATACCGTGTAAAGCTTTTGGGACTGCCCCATTCAGATGCGACCATCACATCGTGGTATGGTTGATACCAAAAATCATAACCAAACTTTGCACGTTTATCACCTATTGTCCATGTACCTATAACAAAAGTTGTATATGATTACTAATTTCTTTCCGCGACTTCGTCCGCGTAGCATTATCAATAGACAAAAGTGAGTAGCCTATGGTTTCTTCCAGACTATGTTCTACATCTATGCCAAATATCATTCAGATTCGTCCAACCATTTAGACTACAAACTAACAAACATCTATCCATCCATTTTTCTAAAATTGCGTATATATAATATTAGTATGATTAAATATTTCTGTTAAGATTTTTAATCGTTATATCTCCTGCTACTCACCTGTTACTTTTAAAGTCTTAGCATCGATGAGCACAAAATCACCCTTTCCGTTGCCATTTTTATCTCCCATAGTTGAAATCATAATATTGCCGTCTGCGAGGCAATGAGCCGTGTGAGGATACGCGCAGTTCACCGATTTCAATTCAGAGCCATCAATCACCTAAAAAAACATGCCAGCAACAAGGTTTACAAGATTAGGTTAAGTTATCGATTATCCAGTAATAACTCGAGTAAATTTTGGTGAAATAGGATTATATCTAATCATATTCTAATACGGTATCAATGCGCGATCATTTCATTTGTAATATTGTATACTTAAACAATTACAATTGATTATGTCTTAGTTGAGTGATTACCCTTGTTTTGGCTAGATATCACCGTATTTAACCTTGAGAGTTTTTTATCACACAAAATACGTGACTTGCATATGCGAAGTATATTTTTGGCACACAAATATTAACATATTTATTCTCACTTTAAATTGCCATACATACCTTGTGTATCTCTGGTTTTCTAGGATCAGTACCCACATCGACTGCAAATACATTGGAAGAATGTAGCGCGGGCATTATGAGAAGGTCTCTTTTCAACTCCGGGTTATCGTGACAGCTGGAGCATACATTCCATCCGCTGTGATGCAATTCATTACCAACACTTCCAGTGTATGTGCGGTGAATAACCTATCAAACATTTAACAGTGGTAGTGCCCGCTTTAACATCTTAGTACGAATGGGCCGGCACGCCCGGTGTAATACCACGACCACACAGAAGTCTGGCGTGAAATGGAAGCAATTCCGTGTTTCGTCTGATGAGCGTGGTGCCGGAGGCCTAATTTAAGTCCTTTTCTCTTTACCACCCTTTTCTTATTAGGAGAGGTTGGGAAAAGGAAGTGGATTTGACGGTGGAGGAGATGCATAGGAAGGGGAAATATCCTCTTTATGTGCGTTTCCTCCTCCGTCGTATAAGGGTAGGCAACGCATCTGCAATTGCGGATGTCTATGGGCAGCGGTCGCTTCGCCATTTTGGCGGTTTCAGGTGGCCGCTTGCTCGTTTGCCACCTTATGTTATAAAAAAATAGGATTCTATAGAGATAGAAGTCAATATTATTCCCATAACGTTTCTTAATAAATTAGGCAACAAACACATCAGGAAAAACCATTTTTTTACCTTAAATGTGTTATCTTTGTTTTTTAACTTTAGTATACCAAAAGAAATTACCTGGCTATAAGTGGAGGATTCTGGATCTACGTCGACAGTTGCAAGATAATCTTGTTTAGTGGCGTCAGGCTGCACACAGACCACGTACAAAAGCTTTTCTCTTTCACCATTTTTGAACGCTTCTAAGGGAGTCGCGTACCCTGGCCCCTTACCTAGGGAGATTACAATAATAAACATAATCCAAATAAAATAGTTCGTTTTATTCAATACGAAACTACAAATTTTTATGCCATGTTATATTTTTTTTACCAAAAAAATCAATCTTTGTCAAAGTACACTCTGATGTACAAACGAGGGTTGTCAGCATAAGGGGGACTGAACCCCTCGCAATTTAGTAATCACATCAGGTAATGTTTGCATATAAATGACTCCTTTGTATCACAGATCTCATCAATAGGCTATTGTTTGTTTTGTAATGTTAGTACAGCAGCTATTGAACTAAATAGATTCAAGAGTTCAATTAAATCAAAACGCTTAAAGACTGATGCTGAAGTACAAATCACAATTCTCAAAGGTATTCATTTTAATACTGACGTTCGCTAAAAACCTTTAGACCTGGTAATTGACCTAGTTATGGATACTGTAAATCGTTGCTGGTAAAATATTACAAACCAAACAAAGGGAATGTTTGAGAAGTTGTAGTTATTACATTTTACTGGATTTAGTATAACGTGAAATGCATTATCTTTTAACGCCTCTTAAATGTTATTTATTTTAATTCGAAGCACTCCTCACTTTATTAGCTTGAATTGCGGTGGAGCTAGAAATATCGTAAATAAATATTTTAGATGCTCATGTACAGTCTGGAAATCTGGCGGTATTCCACTTTAAAACCTACAGTTTACAGTCGTTTGAATGTCGTATACACATTAAAACGACGACGCAGAACAATAACTAATAGGACACCGTTTTTAAATATGCTTCTACGACTAAAGGTCGGTCAGTGATACCCGACTATTAACTTATCAATATTATTCCGTTGTTTGTGCAACTCATTGCTACCTAATTGGATAGAGCCAGAAATTGTATTAATACAAGGAACAGGGAAAATTTTCTGTCAGTGGAAGACCGCTGATTTTCGTGACTGTACGTCGCCTAGATTTATGCTAAATAAATAGACAAATATAATTTGTTTTTCTTTTTTTGCAAAATGTGTTTATGTTGGAAAAATTAGGTTCTATTTTTCGATAATGTTAACGATAATAGACGTCACAGCAGGAATAATTATCATAATCTGAGACTTTCCAGCCGCGTGTAGGCCTAGGCTTGGTCCAGTAAATTTCTCCACGTCCATCTACAACAGGCACTATGCTCTTCCAGAAGTTGTTATCAAATTTGTTCTTAAAGGACTTCGTTTGCATAATGCTGATGCATTATCTAAAAATGCTATATAGAAGGATAATAGAGGCCACACTAGTCCTTACAATATTCTATTATGCTTCTGGTGTTATCAGCATATTCCGACATTATTCTAGTTGCCAACACAATATTATCGTTGTTATTATAATCATAATATCCCCGTTTACGTTGCACTTATCTGATTGATATGTTATTTCATAGTTGAATACAAAGGCCATTGATCGGTTACGTTTTTCATTGTATTTGGACTATACTTTAATATATTGCTGGACAGTTGACAATTAGAAGTGCCATTTCAAAAACGGAAGTATGTCATGTTAACATAGCACTGTATAATTTTGTGATTTGACCTGACTTATGTCCTATATCCCCAAAGTGAGGCCCACGTCCATAGCGCTCCGCCCTCTCTATCTGCAGACCGCATTTGGCTATGATTACGTGATTGCTATTGTGTTGGTCGCCAGTGAAGGTAACCTCGGTTGCTCAGGATTGCTATCTTTTATTCTTCCTAGCGTGATCACCTCCAGGTCCTCCTCGGGACTATGACAGATATCGCGACGAAGCATGTAGCCAATCCACAATAATTTTATAAGATTTTTAGTATTTAATAACTAATAACATATTAAATATACAGAAATAAAGTATCTTTCTATCAAACAAAATCTTACCCTAAGGTTTGATAGAATAGATAATGTACCTTCACCTTCACAGCCAATTATCTTACTTTTTCCTACTATCATCAATTCCAAGTTTAAATGGATGGATGTTTGTTATCAGGTAGCTCCAGAACATCTGTGTGGATTTGATGAAATTTAGTCTAGGTAACACTGCCTGGAAGATTACATAGGTAGGATACTTAGTAAGATTTTTAATTCCGCGCGAAAGAAGTCACAGTGGTAGTGCCCGCCTTAACATCTTAGCACGAATGGGCCGGCACGCCCGGTGTAATACCACGACCACACAGAAGACAGGCGTGAAATGGAAGCAATTCCGTGTTTCGTCTGGTGAGTGTGGTGCCGGAGGCCTAATTTAAGTCCCTTTTTCTTTACCACCCTTTTCTTATAAGGAGAGGTTGGAAAGAGGAAGTGGATTTGACGGTGGAGAAGATGCATAGGAAGGGGAAATATCATCTTTATGTGCGTCTCCTCCTCTATCGTATAAGGGTAGGCAACGCATCTGCAATTGCGGATGTCTATGGGCAGCGTTCGCTTCGCCATTTTGGCGGTTTCAGGTGGTCGCTTGCTCGTTTTCCACCTTATATTATAAAAAAAAAAGTCACGGGCAAGTGCTAGTATATTATGTTATGTATGAAGGTGACCACTGGAATTATAACATTACGTGAGATTTTGTGCTTCGAATTACTAATTAGTATTAGTATTGTGTGTATCAATATGTCGGTTGCCATATTGATTACCATTGAATCTATGTATGTCCTGTTAATAATCTAAAAAAAACTTGCTTGATTACTGTTTATCTTAAGATAAGTTATGTCACTACATTATTAAGCAATAATTTTGTGTCCGACCAAAACCGGCTTTTCATCCTAATCCTAAACAGCGAACTTTTTGTTTCGGTCGAAACTGAAATCGAAAATTTTGAAGACATTTAGGATTTTTTTTTTTAAATATATGGTAGCAAACAAGCAAGCGGCCACCAGAATCCACCGAAATGGAAAGCGACCGCTGCCCATAAACATCCGCAATTACAGAACCGTTGCCTATCCTTAATAGATGGAAGAGGAGACGCACATAAAGAGGACATTTCCCCTTCCTATGCCTCTCCTCCACCGACAAATTAACTTTTCCTTCCCACACTTTCCTCTGACGAAAAGGTTGTAAAGGGAAAGGGACTAAAATTAGGCCTCCGGATCACGATCGTGTACTAAAGTTTAGTGGGATTAAAAAAACAATTTGGATAAAACCGTATTATAAATTAGTAGGCAAAATTTGTGTTCGACGATTTTCAACTACATAAAGTTATTTTGTTTTTAGTAAAAAATAAAATGTAATATTAGATTTTTGAACAAAATTGAACCGTGACGAAACGCGAAAACTAAGGAACACTCCAGTTTCGATTAAATTTAAAGGTTCGGTTATATTTTGGCCGAAACCGAAAATAAAGACGATACTATTTTTAACCGAAATATAAACCAAAACCGAATGTTCAGTAGGTCATTAAAATTCTTCTTTTTTTTAATAGTGTTTGGATAGTTTTCATGTATTACAAAACAATTTCATCATATATTATTTTACAATATTGATGAAGTTATGAATGTTTTTTTGTAATGATTTGCATGATCTTAATATTTATCACCATTATAATATTACCAGATTTTAAAAATGGACAAAACCCAAAATGTTTGCAAAAATTTATTTGGCACTTAACAAAAAACTTGATCAATTTTAAAAAAACATAGATGAAATCAACATAAAAATGTAAACAGATTCAAAGTGATAACGTAATACTAATACGACATTGACCTCTCAAGAACATCTCTGCTGCATCGTTTGTTCAGCAATTATCAAGTCTTGTAAGTATAAAAACGTAAATGCTCATACCATGCGGTAATATTACTTATTATCACAACCCGATAACGTTAATAAAGACCAAAACTCAATAACAAGAAGTCCAATAAAGTATTTAAATAATTGTCAAATCGTACGTATTATTTATAGCAAATACATTCTTAATAGTATACAACGCTTAGGCACATTAAAATACATTTACAGCTAATTGATAGCAAAATACACAAAATGTAATACTTACAACAAGCCATTTTAAAGCAATCTCACAAATCAAATATAGAAAATATCTAATGACTTTAACCTTAACCACTTCGCTCAACGTTTGATACACGAGTGTGACTGTGCAGCTACAAACTTGTTATTAAACTCGTGTAGTAGGGATGGGCATTGATTCAACAAACTAGTTCAATCAGTTGATCAACCGTTCAACATTTCAACCGTTGGCTGTTTCGATCAACTATTCGCGGCATATAATGTTTACATATTATTATAGGAATTAACGTGTTTGGTAAAGGATGTATACGCATGTCTGTCTTTTCTGTCAAATTGTTAGTACCCTTCCCCGTGATGTACCGTCTCTAGTGAATATTTAAAAAAAGCCCGCGGTCATCCCTTAAGATTATCGGTTACCCTTACTGTTTGTGAACGTGATATCTTCTAAACTATTTATCACAATCATATATGCAATTTTAATCAAAATTACATCATTCTGATATCGAACATTATTTGGAAAAGTGTTCATAAAAAACTAAAAGTACCCAACCCGGAATACATAACCTACATAGGAATAAAAATTATATTTTAATCCGTATCATGGCTTACCTTATCATAGTTCTTAGTACAACATTCATGCGAAAGAGAAAAGCTGTTTTTTACAAGATATAAATATAATATAGAAGTTTTTGAGTCAACGTGGTCACGGTCAAGCCATATTAATGTTTTTATTTACAAAAACACGGTTATAAAATCTTACAACTGATGTTTAAAAGAAAATCATTACGTCCTAAAATAAATAAGACCCAAAGAAGGAATCATAGGAGGCAGTTAAGGGGCAACTGGTGGCAACCCTAGTGGATCAAAAGTGTAAAATTGATAATAAAAGTACTTCGAATAGTACCATTAATATCCCCTCGCCCTCCTAGCTCCATTCTTATTTAATTTAGTATTTTAAGTATCAATATAAATTTTACATTACATTATATTACCATTAAAAATAAACTACACAATTTTACTCAGTTCGATTTCAAAGAAATAATGGCTTCATTATAAAATAATGAGTGATCATGTTAAAAGTCATTTTCAATATTATAATTCTATTCTTATTACTATATGAGCAAATGTATATCGTACAATATTGCCAGTATTAATTTAAAGATACTAACAACATTTAATTTTGACTTTATAAAAATCAGCAGTAAAAAATGAATGATTTGAAGAAACATAACTCTTCGTAATTTAATTATTTCATACGCATAAAATAAAATTGACAAATGTCCATTCCTAAAAAACAAATCATACACCACTAAATAAACGAACACTTAATTTTTTATCTTAATAAGTGTGTACGACATTTTATATTTAATTGCAACACTTGATTAGAACTGTCAGTATGAAAGAAGCAGTGTTAAAGTTAAAACAATCTTCTTTTCCGAGTTGGAGGTCGATGTGTGCGCACATAACTATCCTGCATGATCCGATTGAGACTGGAGTGCTGGTGAAATTGATGTCGTATTGATACATGTCTGCTGATATTTTTAAATAAAATATGCCACAACGCCTTATCCTTATTTTTCCACAATAAATCCGCTGTCTTTTCCTTAATCCTACGCATATTTTCTTCCAGTCGCCTGGCCTTTATTTCCATTTGTATGAGAGAGCGAGTTGTATTTGTCAAAAGTCGGTACAGGTATTCCTTCCTTCTCGTTTTATTCTGTTCCGAGAAGGTTTCATTTGTCATAGACACGCATTCACTTGTATTCTTTTGCATTTGCAACTTCGTGTTCTGAAAGTCTCCACCGAAGGTTTCAATGCGAAATAAAATACTGACGAGTAGAATTGCCAGACCAAAACACAACAGCATTAATAGTTTGGCGTGCTTGTAAAGTGGTTGTGTTATAAAATTCATGTCAGAACATTGATATTGTATTTGAATTTGAATATATAACGGCCCATTTCGATGTTTAGCTAGTAATGAAGTATGTAAAATCTTTTAGGTGAAACGCGAACGACGCCCTCTCACGGCATGAGCGAAAACGATACTGACTGGAGTGAAAACACGCCGCCGGTGCGACGCACCCCACAAATTTCCCCAATGACTTTCCCTCTTGAATGTGAGAAACCAAAACATTGGATACGACATATTTATTAAGTTTAGAATTTAGAATAATTCAAAGCATTTGTATTTTTCATTACTTGATATGTGAAATATTCTGTAAGTGTTGTAAGAATAACATTTAGTTAATTTCAAGTTTAAATTCAAGAAATTCTAGTATGGCTCGGCTGGAAACTTCAAGTGCAGCAATTTAAAAACTTGTATCGTTGTAATATACAACATAAGAATTGAGACGTTCTTTAATACGATAGAAAGAACATCTTAGTATATTTCTTTGCTCCATGTTTTCTTAGGTGCGTGAGTAGCAAAGGGAGAGGGGGCCCGAACTCGTCTGTCTCTCGCGTCACCTCACCTAATGTAGTTTCGTCGCACTATCTTGTTGGCACCGGCATTAAATCAGAATAAAGAGATATATATAATCGTATTTTTAAAGATATATAGGTTAAAGCTCAAGATAAGCGGTCGAGTATGACATAGCTGGTTTGTACCAGTTTTGTTTTCTTGAAATCTATAGTAGACAGAATCCTACTGTATTTTGGTATTTATGTGACTTGTGTTTTATACCTTAAGTTATTTAAAAGTAAAAGTATTGTACTATTTAAGTTGTTACATAATTTAATTAAATCCGCTGTTTGAATTTAATACCAAACTACATATTAAAATCCGTTAATCAATTTGTTTAATTTCCTTCATACTATTATACTAATATTATAAATGCGAAAGTTTGGATGGATGGATGTTTGTTAGAGTTTGTAGCCTAAACGGCTGAACGGATCTTTATGAAATTTGGCACGAGGTAGAGGATTGTCTGGAAAAACACATACTAGCTTTTGTTTTTTTTATTCCACGCGGACTGAGTGGCGGGCGAAAGCTAGTAATCTATAAAAGCATTTTTAAATCTCGTAAAATATACAGTACCAGAGCAAGTAAGTGATAAAATAACCTCCCTCGAAGGCTACAAGGGCGACTTTCCTCAAAGGTTTAAAAGGAGTATTTATTATTATTCGACCCAACTTGATTTCTTACGGACAAAGGACCCATAAAATATTTAACAGCAGGATCTATAAAAACGATACAATTTTAACGCAAACGCAATATCTAGGGACTTGCTCGAGGGGTTACAGCTGTGAAAGGTCGCTTTTTATAAAGTTAGTATTTTATAAAATGTATTGCATAAAATGTTTGAGTAGACTTTTATAGAAACGATATCTGTGTTTTAGCTGGTATTAAAAACTTTATCATAAATAATCTGATAATTCATGATTGTAGCAAATATTTTCGTTTATAATTACTACGTTTTTTTGATTATTATTATCGATTAAGTCATACAATTGCTTTTATATTTACAACTTACTAATATTATAAATGCGAAACTTTAGAAGGATGTTTCTTAGAGTAGCATAAACGGCTAAATATATTTCGATGAAAGTTGGCGTAAATGCAGATGATAGTCTGGAAGAACACATAGCCTCACTCATTTTTGTTTTTTAAAAAGCAACGCAGACGGAGTCGCGGGTGATAGCTAGTACAATATAAAGAAAAGAAAGCCGAAGAGAATTTATGTTGCGTAAGCGAGCGTCAGTATCGGTTGAGGGTGCATTAGATGAATATATAACTTCGAGATTGTCGATTTATTGCAGTAAAGTTAAATAAAGAGGCGTATCTGAAACATGTTAAATGTAGACATTCTAATTTTCCCCCGTCTTATACGTATACAAAAGACGATATGACAATGAGACAATGAGTCTCAAAAGCCTCGTTAACAGTATACAAAAATCAATGTACAAAATCGTTAGCCATCGCCTGTTATAAAAATTATTAACTACATAGTTGGATTTGCACTATAATGTTTCTAGGCGCTGGTTAGTCCTTCCATTTATTGAATCTTTGTGCATTCTTGAGTCAAAATTGTTGTTCTGCGTATCATTTATTTTGTTTGCTCTGAACTGTTTTCGAGTATCGAGGAAAAATAAACATAAGTTATTAAGGCAGTGCACACATTAGTACTGAGAGAAATAGGAGTGTGTTATAATGTACTATCGAGAAATCTGTCGATGTCCCACCATAAAGGCGAGTCATTTGAGTACGTATTGAGATCACGCGGAACAATAACTAATAGAATGCAACTTTCAAATAGGTCTGTATCACATTATAAGTCAGTAATCACGAGTATGATTGCTTTTTTAGTATTATCGCCTAGCTTGCGCACCTCAAAGCTACCTAGTTCTTGCAAAAAGTGGTGATGTCTCTAAAGATACACTTTCTCACTTACAGAAAAATAGACATTTTACTGTGCAGAAAAATACAGAAATAGAAAAACATAAATACAAAATATAGACTTGTCCTTGTGAAATATATATTTTTGTGTTTACAACACAAAAATATATATTTTTTGTAAACAAGGAAATGTCTATTTGTCTGCAAATTGAACACCGCGAAGGGCTCAGAGTGTACATCCACTTGAGAATACATTAGTACTCTGTCAACTCCAGCATGACAAACGATAAACGTCGTGCCTGCCATCTGGTGGACAGTAACGCATTACCCTCGTAAATTACTACAATACAATATATTATTTCTTTTCACCACAATATTGTTCTTTAATGATAACTAGCTTTCGCCAGCATGAAATTAAAAAAGAGAGTAGCCCATGGGTTCTTCCAGACAACTCAAATTTCATCAAGATTCGTTCAGCAGTTTAGGCTACAAACTCTTAAGATTCATCCATTCATCTAAACTTTCGCATTTACAATATTAGTAAGATTTGTAAGAATTAAGTCCTTTCCGCGTATAATTCCAAGCCAATGTTAGAGATTGTAATAAACGGAAATAAAGAAAAAGAACGGTTTTCTTAAAAGGCGAAAAACAAAACGTTTTTTGTTTTAATGGCGACGTCATATTCATAAGAATTTCGCTACACAGAGCTCTTGTATGTTCTTGGTGTCTCACTGATTAATGGAACAAAGGAACTGCAAACTATCGTTAACAAGAGAACATTGTTGTATGCTGGCTGCCTTCTTCATATTAAATGTCGTCTTGAAATTGTTTTAGTACTAACACGGAACATATTATACTCCTAGTATAAGAAAATTTTGGTCTTTAAAGACTTGCTATCGAGATCATTTTAACCTATTAGTTCAGGAAACATAGATCCGCTTGTGAAGCAAAAGGTTAGCGTGGTATGGACATGTTATGCGAACAGACGATGAGGACATATACCAGAAAATGTTAAGAATGAAAGTTGACGGTCACAAAGGTAGAGGAAGATCGAAGAAAGTATGGATGGATTGTGTGAAAGAGGATATGCTTTAGAAGCCAGTGGATTCAGATATGACGGCTGATAGAAATTTATGGAAGGGCAGCGAAAACTGTACCGACCCTTCATAAGGAATAAGGGCAAGTTGATGATGAGTTCAGATTACATAGAATTATTCCTCAAAATAAATTATTACAATGCCTTTTGTTTTGTAGTTTTTAAATATTTTAGTATTACATTTATCTGGATATACAATGTTTTAACTTGTTTATTATTACCTAAATCAGCATATTAAAAACTTCGGAAAATGACTTTTATTCCTTTTTTACTGTATTAAGCTTGGGTATTTTAACATGTTCCGTAATGAATTTGATTAACAGTCGAATATGAATGTCCGGGCGATTCCCCCAATATTTGTTTTCGTGTCTGAAATACATCCACCACAAGTAATACCCGCGTAAGCAATTTTCGGATAAAATGTTGTCAAGCAATATTATACCCGAACAATGTTTACTGGAATTAAAGCCTCGCTATTTAAGTGCAAATAGAAGTAAATGTTTGAAGACTTGGATCGTGACAAAGGCCCGTCTATTGGAGATATTAGATAGTTAAATAAGGGCTGCTTTAACATTGGTCTGGTTATTGAATACGATAAGATGTTTTGTTCATTGTCTAAAGATAATTAAAATCTATAACTACTTGTTGAAAAATTTGATAAAATAAACAATCATACTAAATGCGAAAGTTTAGATGGATATTTGTTAGAGTTTGTAGCCTAAACGGCAGAACGGATTTCTATGAAATTTGGTATGGGTGTAGAGCATAGTCTGGAAGAATACATAAGCTACTCACGTTTTTTTTTTAATTTCACGCGGACGGAGTCACAGGCGTATGCTAGTGATTTAATAAGCGGTATTATTAGAGGAAAGAGTGAACAGATTGGGCTTACTAATTAACCCTCATTCGTGAAGAAGTTCTATGCGTAGCCCTAAACTTTTTTTAATTTATATGAGTATTCTATTATAAGGCACTGTTTTCCGCTTCACTAATACATATATCACATACTTTATTTACAAACTAGCTTTTCTCGTGCGGCTTCATTCGCATGATGTTATAAAAACTTTATTTTATTGTTTACATTTCTCAAATTCTCAATTGCTAATGTCAAAATACCAATTACCTTACTACGGCAATCTTGCTTCCTTGGTGTTGGCAGCAGAATATGGTCTCTTTCCCATATTAGGGTTTTGTTCCAAAATATTTACCCCTTAAGTTTAAAAACGTGAAAATATATAGCCTAAAGCGTAACGTAAGTGTAGGACTTTTTATTATTAAAATAATTATTTAAAAATATGCTGTAATTGCTAATATCTTAAGCCACAAAGAAGTGTGTGTTTAACGCTTTATTATATTAGTATAGATATAGATTATGTCAAAGTCTGATTATTAATCGCATCAGAAAATTTTGTCATCATTCGTATTGTTCAGAGACATGAAGCTTAAAAAATTAGTATACCCTAAAACCAACTTTATTGTTTTCCACTGCTACTTAAATCTAAGTATGCGGCAAACTCAATAAAGTCAGCCATTTCTGTCGTTTTCTCAATTTACAGCTGACCCTCACAGCAGTGTTAACCCTGCGAGTCTTGGGCGTTACGAGTCAGGTCTCTTGGGTGTGATAAAAAGCGGTTAAGGGATAAATTAAAGAGGGATAGGAGCATCGTAACATGTTTTGGTAATGAATAACAACCAACGTAGGCTAACTTTAAGTTATCACATTCACAAACAATACGCTATAACAGTGTAATAAATCTAAATTACTATGTCTGTTTGTTGTGCTATAACAAACCTTTATACAGATACAAAATAGCTTAATAAGGTGCGTAAATTAGACCTGGCCTCGACGTATTCAAAAGATAACTTTTTTACAATGTTAAGTTTAATCAAAGGCCGCTAACGATTCTGTAATTTTTCTGATATTATGGATTTCCACGGTCGGTATCCTCGTCGTATCCTCTTTTCTTATAAAAATTACTATAGGTTTAATTTTGATGTATCTCGTAATAAGATAACTGAATCATTACTATTCATAGAACATCATAAGGAAAATAACATTTTCATAAGGGAATACGATATCTCCCATATGAGAACAAATCAAATCAAAATGCAATTGCATCCACGTTATGCATCTCGCTATCGTCAATTCGATAGATTCAGTTTATTCCTCCAGGAAATAGAAATACGATTCTAAAACTCGCGAGCAAAAATTCTTATACCAAAGGCAAAAATAGTAAACTCTATAAACCTATAACAAATGTAAAACCATAAAAAACAAGCTGTAGCAAGAAATAAACCATAATTTTTCATAAACTAGTTAGAAGAAACTTTCGTTGTATAAAATTTATATAATTTTCTTTATCAACGAAGATCATTTTAAAAGCTCAAACAACACTTTCAAGCTTTTATGGATATTTTATGCGAGAAGTCAACATGAAAACTTTCCAAACACTAAATTATAGAATACATTGTTGTAGAAATATTCAGTTTTAACTTTGGATTTAGCGAGCAATGAATTTGACAGGATGACAATATTTTCTGGCGTCCTTTTGGCCACGACATCGTTACAAAGCAGTTAGAAAACTTTTCCCCCAGGACATAAAAACTTTAACGTGTTAAAGAGGAAAACATTCTCACATAAATAGGCTGTGGTGGTCATTCGTTGCTTAACAAGGGGGAGAAGTAACTTTTGTCATAAAATCAGGGACCAAAGTGCAGTTTCCTACACACGAAATGACATCCTTAACAAACACGACAAACAAGTATGTCTAATTCAAATAAAGCTACAGTTAACTCTTAATATTACCAAGAAAACATAGTAAGACTCTGTTTAGTTAAACGCTTCTTTTAACCCTTTGACTGCCGCTGATTGTCGTTAAACGTGTTTCTATGTAGATTTCGGTACAGGGATGTACTATTTATTGGTCAAGACCACAAATCGAAAGCCTACATTCCAATATATGATTTGTAAAAAGTCGCACAGGATAATTGGATGATAGGTCAAGATACAAGAGGTGTGACGTAGATTTATGCTAAAATGTATTTGAAACTCTGAGTTTTATAGAATTTTCCTTAAGTTTTGTAAGAACTGTTTTAAGTAAAAATTTTATTTTCAAAGATAACATGAAAAATTCCTCGGTAACGTCCATCTGGGAATCATCTGCCATCAAATTGTGACTCGGATGTCCCTTGTGTATAGCCGTTTTATTGGAAACATCCCTTAAAACTAAAATTGTATTGAACGCATCTGACCAGTACCGTTAGTGGGACAGGCAAATTGACGTTTGGACATTCAGGTGTCGGATTTTATAGACAAATAGCTTTTAGATATATTTTCAATGCGGTGTCGGTATTTAATAGGACGTATCGTGAAAATACATCAGTGGTAGAAGCGTACCAAATCTATAATATTTTTAGACTTCGTGGATATGACGTGATGTTTTGTTTTTATAGCTTAAATAAAAGTTACGAAATCTTAAGGCTTATTTACAATAAGTGTACTAGAAGAGATCGCCAAGAATGTGTATCTAAGTCAGGTTTTTAACGAATAGATATTTTTTATTACTTGCATTACATACTGTACTTCATATTTTAATTATTATTTATTACAAATGCTAACTTAGGGATGGATGGATTTGTAATTACATATTTTAAAACGGCTTAACGAATCTCGATGAAATTTGGCACTGATGTATTCCTAATTCCTCAAAATTTACTAAAGTCCTTATTCTGTTGAACAGCATGACGGCTCCGAGAATAAATAGCTATTGTAAAATATTACCTTCATGTTAATATCAAATATTAGAGGTGTTCAAATCTGTAGCGCCTGCGGGCTTAGTCGCGGCAATCCGTCGCACATGATACGGTCCGAAATTCTATTATCATCTATAGATTGTCTCACCGACAATTCTCGCTCGGGGCTACGTGAAATAGTGTTTATATAGGGATACAATTTGTAGTTAGACGTTTATTTAATCTATATTATATATAAGCTTTTATAAATTTAATTAAAATTGTTTTTATACAAAATTTAAGCGTAGAAGTGAAGATGTTAACACCGTAAATATAATACTGTATAGCTTTGGTAAGAATTTTTCCTCTCAACTAATTAGCATAATTTTTTGTCGCGCTAGACTTTTCCGTAAAATCGAAAGGTCGTCAATCTTCTTTCATAATTTCTGACGTTTTAGCTGAAGAAATATATGATAAATGACCTCGGCGAATTTTTAACTATAAATCATTCAAGACATAAATTTGGTATAATGACTAATGACAATGTAATGAGAAATTACACTAAAAATTATTTGGAATTTATAAACTATTATATTAATATTTCAAGTTATATTCAAGGGCTTTTTGGTTACAAAATAAAACATTAGGAAAGTGACTTAAGACGCTTGTCTCTAACTTACACTGTCGATTACATAAACTAGAAATTACTAGTAAAATGAGATATTTTATGATGTTTTCTGTTGTAAAGAAAAATAACATTTAATTAAAATGTTTAAATTTGCACTATTAACGTCTACTTAGATTAACTCAAACCGAAGTCAGAAATAATACCTGCTAAAATTTTCTTACAATTGTGAAATACTTTAATGCCAGTGTCGATATCATAACCTAAATATGAAGACTGGCGGATTTATTATAAGTCGGAATAAGCTCTTGTAAAAAACGAGGACAGATTAAAAATATATCTTTAATAACTGCTAGGTAATGCGACTGTGAATACTTTTTGTAACAACATTTTGCTCGCGCGACGGTAATAAAAAAGGAAAGCCTTGTTAAACAAACAACGACATAAAAACTTTATCTTATTCTAGCAAGAATTAAGGAGAGGAAACTCAAACTTTCTTTGATCCGATGGATGGTATTAAACTACATTTTTCGTGGTTAAAGGGGAGTAATGTGTTCACTGGTTTCGTATTCTTCTTTTATTTTCACAATATTTTGACATTAAAAATAGTAATTCTATTTGTAATTATTCAACGAAAAATCGTTTACAAGGGCTTGTAATAAACACTAAATACGTAAGTCATTTTTCTACCTATTACTATCAATAAATAAGTACATCTTTTTAAAACACTATGTTCAAAGTATTTTAAAACTAAAAAAATGACCAGTATAACATTAAAACAAATGATAACTAGCCTCTGCACTGCTTAGTTTGTAGTTCCCAAGTCTGTTCTAATGAATTTGATCTTTCACGTCCTCATGATGAAGAAGAATTAAACTTTCACTTCCAGTAGGAGTTTCGAGCATCGGCAAATTCTCAACTTCACCTAAAACATCATACTAATATTATAAATGCGAAAGTTTAGATGGATGGATGTTTGTTACAGTCTATAGCCTAAAACTGAACTGATTTCGATGAAATATAGTATGGACGTAGATAGCTTGGGAGAACACATAGGCTACTCACTTTTATTTTCATTTAATTACACACGAACGGAGTCGCGCGCAAAGCTATTGTTTTGTAAAAATTACTAACTTGATTGGTCAACTTATACAGAATGTCAGTTATGGCTATTGTTATTTAGACAAAATTTTACTATAATAAATAAACCAACGTCTACCGCGCTTTTCTTGTTTATTCTTTAGAAGATGTTTAATGGAATTACTGCGCAATAAGCTAATACTTTATGATTAACGTGACAGTTAATACAACTACGTTTTTATTTTTAATTAAAATTATATTCTAGAATTGATTTTGAATATGAACTTACCAATTCTTACAGTAAAATTCATCGATTCGCTGTCATCTAGCATTGAAAAAACATTTTCAACCGGAATGTACACGTTCTGTGTGTGTTCTAAGAAATCTGCATCCTTTTCGCATTTACAGGGTCGCCTAAAATGACAATATTAAATAAAATTTTCATTAATATTATTGTTTTCATTTTGTTAGCGTTAAATAAAAATTACCTGTAGACGATTCTTTTGCTCGGTATATTTGGTAAAAATAAATCAACTTCGAAATAAAATTTATCAGCATTATCATCGTTTACCAGAACAGTCCACATCATTCTACCTGGAATATTAAAATTATAATTAACTAGCTCCCGCTCGCGAATTCGTCCGAGCGAAATTGAAATTATAAAAAACAATTACTCAAAAAATGAAGCTCTTTAATAGAATGTTTTTTAATCGGTCCAGTAGTTTTTGAGATTTATTTGTACATAAAATAATCCATAAATACAAATCTTTTCTCTTTATAATATTAGTATAAACAATAAAATCTTTAACTAAATCAATTAATTCTATAACAATCAAAGAAAGTATTAGAATAAAATTAATCTAAATTGACATTTTTGGCAAACGTAACTTGTAATACATTTTAAAACTATTGTTTAAACAATTTGAACAATAATTTTGCTTCATTTTAAATCCGTTTTCCAAATTATTCCGTTCGACTCGAAACCAAGCTGTTAATATTCAAATGTTTTTTTGTTAATAGCTTCAGAAACAATACCTCCTCTTTTATCATAGATTTGATAAACATTGAACACTCTTTCGTAACATTTCATAAGGAAATAATTAAGTACAGGTTCCGTCCTCTTTGCATCCCATTTGTCCTTAACAGTAATAAACGGTAGTTCCGTCACTTTCTGTTTATGTTCAAGGAAACAATGATCCATCCATTCCCCTGCACGACCTTCCCACGAACAGTCACCTGGAAGGATTTAAAACAAATGAATTAATACTTTATTAAAGTACATATATTTTTATTTAAATGACTTAAATATGTATAAGCTGTGTCTATAAAAAAAAATAATTTTTTTTCTGATATTATAAATGTGATTGTTAGACTTTTTAGCCTAAACTGTGGAACGGACCTCGATTAAATCTATACTTCTATACTAATAAAATAAAGGGTAAACACACACTACTTTGTGGCGTAGGATGTCAGCATTCACAGCATATTTTTGAAATATTCTATCTTTAATAAAAAGGCCTGCACTTACGATACGCTTTGTGCTATATATTTTCATGCTATTAAGCTTAGGGGGTAAACAAATTGGAAAGAAAACCTTCACGTGGGAATGTGACCATAAACTACAACTGGCCAACATTAAGGAAGCAAGGTAATTTTGACACTTGCAATTGAAAATTTTACAAATGTAAACAATGAAATAAAGTTTTTATAATTTAATGCGGATAAAGCCGCACGGGAACAGCCAGTTTGGCATAAATGCAGAGCATAGTCTGAGAAGAACACAAGCTACGTACTTTTTTAAATTCTAGTTTTGCTTATAAAATATTAAGTTACTCACCATAAACTCGTGCCATAAAACAATTAATGATTCTGAATTGACAATGGGGAATGTGTTTCTCCAGCATCGGCAGGTTCGCGTGTTTCGGACATCCTGCATTAGTGCACGGGAACAAAACTTTATTCGCCAAAGACTCCAAAACCATCGGACGAACCAGAGAGAACTCTTTCTATAAAAAAAATAATAACCACAAACTAATTCATTGGCAAAATAATAGCGGAAATATACGTCTGATTAAATATCTACGTAATGAGTAAAGTCTGATTTAATCATTTTTTTTAATTAGATCTACAAAATTATTGTTTATGGAAGCAAAAATAAACACTAGTAACTAGTAACATTTATGACATGTCTTTTAAATTGAAGATTAAACTTTTACCTCTCTAGTTTTATTTTTTATTTTCCTTATCAAATAGTAGAACATGGATATACAATAAAAGTGTACATATACATCACTAGCAGGTTCAGTCAGTTATATATACTGAGTGGTCTTACCTTACATAGATGGCACTGATAACTCTTCTCAAAGCAAGGGCCACACAAGCTATGTCCATCAACGCACAGGTGGATCGGAGGTTTCATGTACTTTGCACATTTTGTACACGTCAAATCCTTAATAAGGCTCTCGTAGTGATCCGTTTCTAATAACGTACTAAGCACCACTGAAAGCAAATAAATATTAATCACAAATGATATTAAATATCATTACATTGGTTTCACAAGGCGAAACAGTCATTTGTTTTTATATGTGTTCAAAAATTATTGGTTTTGCGTTTAGTTTTATCTATCTATACTAATATTATAAAATAGGAAAGATTTGTATTTTTTTCTGTATTGAGATAACTCAAAAACTACTGTTCCGATTTTAAAAATTCTTTCACAGTCAGAAAGGTAATTTATCTGAGTGTAACATAGACTGTTTTTTTTTAATTTCAAGCAGGCGAAGTCGCGAGCAACAGCTAGTATAATATATACCAAATTATGCAACACGTTTATATTAATTTGCAGCATTCACTAATCCGATGGAGTTGAGTTTACTAACGTTTTGATTTGATACTTGTTTTGAACTAAACTCATTAATACTTAGTCTCAAAGATGAAAATAAATTACTACCATTTGATTTATCAAATGGTAGTAATTTGATTTATTGATACCATTGATTTATCAATGGTAGTAATGATGTTTACATCAGGAATACATGAAAAATAACAGTGAACACTAGTTCACTAATAGTAACTATACCGATAGGGTAATTAGTTTCATTTCTAATATCTGTTGCTCGCGACTTCGTCCCCGTGACATTAAAAAAATAATAAAAATAATAGCCTATGTTACTCACGGATGTCGTAGCTTTATAATGGTGAAAGAATTTTTGAAATCGGTCCCGTAGTTTTTGTGTTATTTCAATACATACAAAAATTCAAACTATTCCTCTTTATAATGTTAGTATAGATGAACAAGAAAATACTGATTTACATTTTATTAATGAACAATAAACAATAAACGACCGCTGTAATTTAACTATTATACCCTCTACAACGTCTTATAAAAACATTTTCGTAAAAAGTTATAAAGTCCGATTTAACATGTGTCGTTATTATCATGTATAAGAAATATTAATACACGTGCATTGAAATACTAAGTCAAGTGCTGACACCCAGCGATAGATCCGTCGCCAATACATTCAGTTGGCAGTTTATCTGAGCTGTGCAGACGCACTCTAACGTCAGTTTTAATCTCGTGATACACGGACGTAATGTTAATTACACAGGAGGGCAGCAGAGAACAGTACAGCCATTGAAACGGACGCTTCGATACAGAATAGTTTCGAAAACGAACGTTCACACAATAGTACTGCACCGTCTACTCGTCTGCTTCATTATTCTATCCTCGTGTGAAATAGCATAACCCTATACACACCGTATCGGAGACTAAAAGCTTTACAGCGATATGAACGAATCCGACTGCCAAATGTAATAAAACATATGCAGGATACACGATGTATATCTTGAAATCCACCTATAGAGGTTTTATATCGCTCTATGGTTCTCACCTTTCTCGCTACTTCATATTTACGTGTTCTTAAAAAAAAATCAAACATTTAAATTCCAAATGTTGAGAATTAATCAGCTGCTTTCCATATCTATAAGATATTTAAAATCCTAGCCTTCTAGGTACCTGATACCCTTGTGTCATAGTTGGATGTTAAGAAATATATAACAAGATATAAATAAATGTTAAACAAGCACTTATGTACTGGACAGGTCAACGACCAACTTATTTATCGATGCTAACTCCTTCGTAAGTAGGTCATTTGACAAAGGTTCTACATCCTATTATGGAACAGTTGTCTTTCTGTTTTTTTCAAATTAAATTTAAATTAAAAAAATATATCTGTTAAGGCCTTGGAATAGTTATAACAAAGATATAATGACGAAAGAAAAATTTATGTTGTTCGAATTTAAGTGAATATTAATGTATATTAAATATAGTTTAAAAACTATACATTTACTTTACAGTACATTTTTGAAATATAAAATAGAGCCGGAATAAATCGCATGATAGCACAAACGTCTAAACATGTGACTGAACACTGTCTAAAGAAATGAGACACATTCATTCACATATCTATGAGCTCTCCAATAGATTTGTAAATTAAAAATTACTAACGCTTCCTCCCAGTGAGTGACGACGTCGATGTCGACGACATGCCGAATACAAGCACCACACTTAGAACGTGAACACACCGCGGCACACCGACTTCGAATTATTAAACAATTTCAGAAACAAACGTATGGACGTAAATCGATTATTGTCTAATCGTTCAAACATTTTCAATGATAAGATGTTAGTGTACATATCACGGAGGCGATTGCGATTGTGGCCGAGGTGTTGGCGACACTGGCCGGTCGGTCTATATTTAATTTAAAACGACAAGGTTACTGCTACGCTAGGGCCGCACTCACCCGCTTCTGACCAATTACTAGAGAGTTCTTGGCCTAATTAATTTAAAACTAAACCGTTTGCTAGCATATTTTAGGTTCAATTTTGAATATTTAATTCTGATTGTTTTTTCTTTGCTATTTTCTTACGTGACGTTTTACATGTAGTATAACAATTTTAAAGTCTGCATTGTATTGATTTTCTTAATACTTTCTACGTGACTTTAATTAAAAAATCTTCACGAAACATTTTAAGAGAACTTATGCATACTTTAGGGTCGAAATAATAAAATGGTGACTAATTAAAGAAATATCGCTTTTCGGACTCGTAAATGAAAACATACATTTTCAATGTTAAAAATGCATGAAAACTCATTCTAAAAAATGTACCAGTACACTTTAAACTTGAAATTCGCGATAGATATTTTAAAAATCTGTTTTAGAAAACACTACGCAGATTGGAAACATTATTTTACTGTAACAAAAATCAATTGAGTCGAGCAATACAAACATGAATTTCGACCACTGAAACATTTACACAAAAACATACAGCCATCTCTCTCATTGTCGTCAAAAAAACAGAGATAACAATATGTTCGTGTGATTTCGGCAATGGAAATTAACATTACTTACGTTCAATAGGTACTTCCATAGAGTATATTCACAAAAAATGTTTACGTCTTTAGCCTTTGTAACTAATCAATCCAATAACTTGTTACAACGACACGAACATGTGACTTTTCTACCTTTGATGATTCTATCTGGAGAAATGAAATGAAATGAAATGAAAATGCATTTATTGCCACAAAATAGAAATTAGATAACAAAGACTTATTCTAAAGGTGACATATTCGTGGCAAAAGGTAGCCAGCTCAGCGTATGCAGGACGGACTAAGCCGTTCCTGCGCTGATTTTCAGCTGGCTCCTTTGCACTCAAGTAACATACATCTTAATCACTAGGGTAACCGGCCGTACTAATTACATATCTATACAGAAATAAAAAAGTAATAAAATAAAAAAACACACTTTTAAATAAAAGAAAAAAAGAAAGAAAAGCAAAGCAAAGAAAGAGAAGCACTTAGTTCAAATATCTGTTTACGTTATCGCTTTAACAGTTACAATATTATAGCGTCCTGACAAAGAACAAACAACAACTGTTTACGCTGGAATTAGACCTTAGTCTGTGCCTGTCAAAGAAGATGTGGTCTGTACAAACGTGCCAATGAGTTAAAGACAACTGTTAGCCTAATATTAATTTGGGTAATCGCATTACACTTCCTAAATGTCTCGCTTTTATTCCTTTTGCCAGTTGTACTAAAGTTTAATTTTGCGATTCTAAACGAATGCAGAGATTTTATAGTCGGATAGAGATATTAAATAAACCAATGTGATAAAGTTATCTAGTATATAGGGATTGCCAATATAATTGTTAATGTTATCTATATGCTTGTAATGTCCGGGCTGATGTTACTCGTTTATTATATACATAAGTACATATTTGAAAATAAAGATTTTATTTTACCTATTTCTTGTGATACATGATCCTTATACGTCTATATTTTGCTTTAGTCATTGTAATAGTTTTTTTACTTCAGTTTATCTATTGAAGTTGTTAGTTGACCGTCTATATATAAGCATGAGATTATTTGCAGATACAATTATATACTACTGTTCCTCGCCTGAAATTATAAATAGTTACTTAATGTTAAAATTGCTTTTTAATGCTAAAAGAATTTTGAAATCAGCCCAGTGGTTTTTGAGTTATTTCAATCACACTAATATTTTAAATGCGAAAGTTTAGATTGATAAATGGTTGGATGTTTGTTAGAGTTTGTAGCCTAAATGGCTGAAGGGATTTCTATGAAATTTTGCATAGATGTAGAGGATATTCTGGAAGAATACATAGGGTACTTTTGTTATTTTTAATTCCACGTGGACGGACTCCCGGGCGAAAGCTAGTAAATACTAAATGGCAAATCTCTCAACTTTACAATATGATAAGCAATATAAAATCATCTTCCTAGCAGTTTTCTGGTCACTTCTTAAACATATTCTTATTATTGATTCGACGATCTGATCAAAGTTGTAGAATACCTGTGGCAGGAGAACTACCATAATGGTTTTCAATAGAAAAGTCGACATCGGATTTTATTTCCATTTTTAAAACATAGCTAAAATGTGCAGACGATATGGTTACGTCACCTTTTTTGTTTGTTGAATTAAAATTTCCGACGAAAATGAAATACCTTACAGAAATGCGGTACAACGATAACAATCTGAAAACGCCGCATTGTATTTACGCAAATCGATTATCTATGATTAGACTCAAGTACGTCAGATGCACCAACGATAGTTAATCATGGACTAAATTCAAGATAATGTTGCGAGTAATTGCTTCAACATGATACATATTAACAATAGGATACCTATTTACTTTTAACAAACAATTGTAATAAGACGAGAACCAAAATTACTTCAATATTCAAAACATAGAATATACTGTGTATTAGTTTCGTACAAACGTATGTAAACTCTGGCCAGGATTTTTATTTAAAATACGTGAATTACAGATTTTGAATGACGTCGTTATGATTGAAAAAACAAAATATCAGGTATGTATGACTTTACTGTATTTTCATTTTGTTCAGTATGAAAAGTATTATTGAATTAACTATTATATACTGTCTATTGCCTTATTTTAAACTAGCTGTTCCCATTCGGCTTCATCCGCTTGAAATTATGAAAAAAATATTATGACATGATGACAAATCATGGCAACCTTGCTTTCTTGATGTTGGTAGCAGGTTATGGTATCTTTCCTGCATTATTTATTTACCCTCTAAGTTTGATAGCGTGAATACTAATAGTCTAGAGCGTAAAGTAAGTGTAGATATTTTTATTAAAAAAAGAATTAGTTAATCAAAAATATGCTGAAACTGCTGATATCTTGCGCCACAAAGTAGTGTTTGTTTACACTTTATTATATTAGTACTAGCTTTTGCCCGCGACTCCGTTTGCGTGGAATTAAAAGAACAACAGAAGTAAATAGCCTATGTGTTCTTCCAGACCATGTTCTACATCTTTACCAAAATTCATTTAGATCCGTTCAACCATTTAAACTACAAACTCTAACAAACATCTATCCATCCATCTAAACTTTCGCATTTATAATATTAGTAAGATAGTAATTATAGTAAGAGAGTAGAAGTAAATATTAGTCTTTTAAATAAAAACTAGCTTACGCCCACGAATCTGTCCGTATGGAATGAAAAAAACGAAAGTTTAGACTTTGTGTTCTTTCAGACTCTCCTCTACATGTATGCCAAATTTCATCGAGTTTTAATCAGCTGTTTAGGCTACAAATTTCAATAAACATCTATTCATCATTTTGCATTTATAATATTAGTAAGATAAGATTTACATAATCGAATCAATGCGGACCAAACGACAAATGTGAGGTAATTGGCTTGAATTTCTGTGAAATAACTTGACAATGCGAAAACGGCTTCGTGATTGCAAGCTCGACACATTTCACGTGCCGATGTATTGACACGCACGGGCTCGCTATAAAATCAATAGCTAGCGGAACGCGGCGCGCATAATACAATTACTATAAACACTCGATTAAACTTTTGAATAACGAGCGTGTGAAAATAATACTGAAGCCAGTCGCTGCAGTTCTAGACTACTGGACCTATATTGACTCAATAAAGTTCATATTCGTTCTGGTCTTTTGCTTTGATGCTCAATGTAACATAACATATTCCACAGATTGGAAATTTAAAAAGAGAACCATACAAAACCACAGAGTATGTAGCAAAAGTATTATTCGTACTAAAAGAAACTAGGTTGTGCTTGAAAAGTAAAAGAAACAAATTTAAAAAATGAAAGAAAAAAATATACAGTCATTGATTTTAATAGTATTTGGTAATTTTCATTACATCACAGGAAACAGGGCACTTGAATAAAAAACTAACAACAGAAAAACACGCGAAATAGTAAATAACATACGTATACGCAAATCTAAAGGCTAAAAACAATTGTAAGTGAGTTTAAAATCAGTTTTTAAATTATGTTGAAACAGTTTAATTTTAAGAGATAGGCAATTAAAAAAGATTCTTGTAGGCGTGTGAGATTAACATTAGATGAGTCAGATAAACTTGTTTTTTTATATTTCTTTATCAATATTAATTGTTATGAGAATACACACGTCATCACATGATATTACTTTTCTAAGGAAATAACAAAAGTATGTTTTTAACTAAACAGTATCTAATTATCTAGGAATGTAAAAAAATCCCGAAATTTCGAAACGTACAGAAATTTCTAGTCCTTTTCTCAAAGAGCTTAAACATAAAACAAACAAAATAAGACATCAGCGCACAATACAGACAAGGGAGAGTAATTGTATGCATTGTAAGAAGCACAAATATGTACATAAATCTAGAGAATATATCTTAAACGACGTTATATAAATAGGAACGTGTCAGATGTTGTTAACCTTTTAAAAATGCATAGAAATGATCATAAACTCAACATATTTAGTAATATTAATAGCAATTACTTTGTAATTTAACTTCAATATTCTCACATCTCAACGATGGCCTTGTATTATCTCACAAAATATTTGAGGTCAATAAATTAGTTGATAACGTTAGCACACACGAGGGAGCCGCAGTGTCCCCGTAGTCTACAAATGAAACTAAAAACAACGCGTTATCAAACATCTATTTATAACAAGAGAATCAACAGATCTTTAGGAATCCGATACACGTGGTAACTATGGAGACATTGATCCCTACAAGATGTTCACCTCATTGAAACGTGCAGGCGACATAATAACTTATTATGGAAAACCAATTCTTACAAAGTTTGTACAAATAATTATACTAAAGACAGATTACATTTTCTTTCTCATTAATTTTGAAGATTCAATTTAATAGATTTTTTTAACAAATAATGTAACTGTTAAAAAAGACATTATTAATAAATTACATAATTACACAAAATAAATATGAATGTTATGGGTTTGATAAACGTATATACACTAAATCACAGGTAGCAACAAAAAATACTTGAACGTAGCGTAGCGAACGTAGCGAAATTATCAAAGTGTTTAACTCCGACGCTCTTAGCAATATTATTTATTTTAATAAAGAAATAAACGCAAATGTCATAAGTGCAGTATTGGCCTCGTACATAAAATCATGTATCTTAGGCTCTACATTTGACGACACTTCTAACCCAGAGGTTCCTCATTTGTAAAAATAAATGTACGGAATTTGCATCTTTGATATATATTTTTGATAATCGTTTTCCTTGTAGAGAGCTTGCTGTGCACACGCCCTAACATCTCGAGGCGACCACTTGTTGTTTTGAACTGAATGTCGTACAGTTGTCATAATTGACACAGGTTATCAATTCTATTTAATGAGAGCTATCAACATACTATACTAGACGGAACTCCAGTTTCTCATTTGCTCCGTTAGAATAAACAATTGCCAAGAAATTCGAAATAAAAATGTGCTTATTATCAAGTATGAAAATTCAATGGATTTTATACGGAATGTGTATTTGTACAAATGTGATGAGTGGTGAAACGTTGATAATAAATATGGTGGTGAAGGAAATATGTGCTCGATCTCTTACGAATGTTATATCATATCTTTGTATAGACAGCTTTAGTGATGGGGATTCTTCGGGGATCCAATATAAAGGGAATCGAGCAACTTTTCTTAGTGAAAGGTATATGAGAAATTACATAGACGAATGTTGCCTACGTCCATGTTCTATATCCCAACTAATGGAGTACTGTCCGTAGCGTTGGTGGAGTTAAGACTATGAACAGTTCTTATTTGTGGTACTTTATGTGCAATGTAACTTTCCTGGTATAAACAGTGACAATACTAGTATATTATAGTGTGGAAGATCTCCAAATTTTCTGTTAATTATAAAAGTGTGTAAGGATTTTTGAGTAGCATCAAGATCAAATGATAATTTTATTAACAAAATTGTATGTTTGTCTTTTAGAACTGACTTAATTTAAAGTATTTGTAAAATGGTAATACTATTTATTTTATTATAAGTAATTATATTTTCTAGTAAAATTATAATTTAAGTACTTGCAAAGATATATTTTTCTCAATATTTAATCAAGCAACATATGATAACTTTACACTTACTGAGATTAAATTTAATGTTATTTCATTATTGCCAAAAGAGTTCGTACATTAGATATTGTATTTGCCCCATTAAATATCTTTAAATTTTTAAAAACTATATTCAAATGACAACTAAAGGAAATTTTACTTGATAATATACAGTCGCGGCAATCCGCTGTGATCTTACACAA